CCTACATGCTAACCACACGCAAACTAACCAGGTAATATACACCTAAACCAAGTGACGTAACAAACTGAAAGTAAAAATTTCAAAATAAAAGACATCACCCAAACCTGGCACCTACACGCAGCTTTTGGGCGAAGTGTGAAAACGGGCCTTCCCAGCAGACAGAATACACAACGACATAACACCTATCTCGCGCAGGTAGACGGCCAATAAACCCGGAAGGCCATGGGCCAGACACCTTTCTTTTACACTTCTGGCCAGGATGTCAACGCAGGAGGATGTCACATGGCGTCGCGCAGCCTAGACACGCAGACGCCACCGGCTGCCCCATCATAAATCAGAGACAGGGGAACCTCAGAACCATAAATCAAAGTCATAAAACACCTTTTTTGACACATGGTTTATGTTAATACTACTCTTAGCTACTGCACAAATAATAATACCACATCTAAATGAAAATACACCATTACAAATGTAACTTCTGTATTCAATATCTTCAAAGTTTGTAAGCATTAACTGTAACATTACCAACATTTTTAAAAGTAAAAGCACAACATATTTCTTAATATTAGCAACTGCATGTGGCATTTTACAGCTAAAATTTTGAAGTTTAGCTGTTTTAACTACTGTAATCATTAAAAATGTAGCAAGCTGAATATCACTTCCTAACATCATCCCTAGCAAGTAACTTGCAAAGTAATTTCTGATTAATTCGGTTCGGGAGTAGTAGAGATAAAAGCCCGCCCGCACTGACAATTGATTGGTTGGGTCCTTACATGCGCTTCGTGAGGACACGCGCACACTAGCGCACACTAGCACACACACGCAATCTCTCGCTCCCTCTCTCTCTGCCGTGCACGCGCTACGCATGCGCGCTCTTGCTCGCTCTAGATTCCGGGAGATTTTAACTAATTTGCGGACATCAGGGAGCCGCTATCAATATGCGGGAGACTTAGGATGTGTGTGGCGGCTGGTGGGCCGGCCCGCCGGCCGTCCTGGAGTACCGGCCGTTCTGTGATTCTCCAGATCACACAGATGGCCAGTCCGCCCCTGCGCGTCTATCGCGTTTAGTTAGACGCTTGAACATTCGCTCGAGTTCAAAATTTTCATCTTGCGCAGAAGACATTTGCGGCAAACGCGTCGCCCAATTCGCGTCATTCGCAACGCCCGGCGCGAATGATGCGTCTATTCGCGTCTTTGCATTGACTTTGTATGTAATCTACTCGCCCAAATAATTAAATTCGCGTTCGGTGTGAACACACCATTAGGCTATGTAGGAACCCACTACCCAGTTACGCATTATTTACACATCTGCATATTTGACGATTACGCATTTTATTAGAATTGTAATGAGACAATAATGAGTAACTTAATGAGTTTGTAAACCATATTTTTCTTCAAAATAAAAGCTTGATGCTGTTTCCGTCAAAATAAAAGATCATGTGCTTATCTCTGTATAGAAATTAGTACGAAACTAATTATGAAAGTTGCTTTTATTTTTCAGTGCATTTGTTTTACAACATATGGCTATTACTGCCATGGGATTAATATTATAACTATTATTATGTAGTAGTGTAATGTAGACAGACACTATATCACAACTAAAAGAGTTTTGAGTTTTTCTTTGTTCAATTTGCACACTGAATATGGGTTGGAGCTCTTTATTTTTAACTCTCAAAGTGCACCAGATTGATGAATTTAACATTAAAAAGCACAAAATTTTCTTACGGGGGAGCATGCCCCCGAACCCCCCTAGAGGGACAGAGGTGCACTCACCACAGATTTCCCAAAATCCTGTGGGAAAAAACGGTATTGCTATCCCAGTTTATAGCTTGCTTTAGGATTCATCACTGTGGAGTATAGTTCAACTTAGTAGTTATTTTCATCGGTTAACTCTTACTCACTCCTATTCACTTATGGCATTAGTGGTTTTAATAGGAGTTGGTATACATATTCAAGGGCGTGCAAAGTTCGGTTGTGTTATATAGTGGGCCAGTCTGGGCCAAAATGCCCGGGCCGATTTTTTGTCCCAGTCCAGCCCTGCTCCGGAGTGATGATATTACTGCGCCGAGTCCATAGATATATATGCGCCGAGTCGAAGTGCTCCCAAGCACTTGCTGTGGTATTCCGCCATCCATTATAGTTATCCATTTTACACGCTTAGAAAAGCGCAACGTTTTATTTTGTGTAAAAAAAACCTAAAAACTAAAAAAAAAAACTTTGTAAAGCAAAGCTCATTATCATTTAAAGGCATATGCACTGAAACGGCGTGCTGAAAACAGAGCTGTTTTTGACCAGGTAAAATTAGTGTTTTCTTACAATACTAATGAGAATTTTTAATAAAAGTAGCCAATATTACAAAGTTTTCATTTAGACCCTAAAGATTCATATTAACTTGTACAAAAATGGCATTATTAACCCCTTTAACAAAAAAATTGCTGTGCAAAAAATAGCCACCGCAGAATGTTTGTGAAATGTAGGTGAGAGTTTCAGAAGGATGTTTCTCAGAATAATGACGGGTTGTGTCTGTTCCAGTGAACTAAAAGTTCCGTTCTGCTTCTCTGGTGAAAACTAATTAAACTAGTTCTTATTTGAGTGGAATATGTATAATATTTACAAGATGAATTTAGATTAAGTGGATTAGCCTTTATACTGTGATTATGTAACTTTAAGAGAGCATTGTATTAAATACTTAAAGCTGAAAAACCTGGAAGAGAGAGTTAAGTCTCTAAACCATGTGTGTGTGACTAATAAGAGTAAAATCACATTGTGCACTGTACATGAATTACTAAGCTGTTAAAAGACAAGATGAGTCATGCTTAGCATATCAATGTTTCTCTAGTCACAAACTTAAATATGTCACACACTGTTGGTAGTTCTGCTGAATCAGTCAGGATAAATTAGTACATTTACCAGGACTATATGTAATATTCTAATTAATTATCAAACATTTCCATTAGTCAATACGGCTAAAAACTAATATGCACAGTTTGTGAGCTATGGATGATTATGTGACTGATACGGATATACATATTCACACATTTACACACCCTACAATATTTGCATATATGCCATTTGCCGCACATGAAAATGAGGGTAGGCTACATATCGTAAAACAAACCACAGGCCAAAAGTGCTGAACTAGATCATTATCAGGCTGCGCAGATGCTTGCTGAGATGCATCAGCTTTATCTTACAACTGATCATGACTTACAACTGAAAGATTTGGAGAGAACGGCCATATATGTAAAGAGTATCACTACAACAAACAGATCAAGATTTTCTTAAAAGAAAGTTGAAAACTCATATGGACAGATTGGAATGCTAAACAAAAAAATATCTAAGTGGAAAAAACCTCACATCAATGTAAGACAGAACATAGATGTCACAGTTTGATAATGAGAGCAGAAAGGGGTTTTCTTTTTTTGGTTTAGATTTTGTTCCACAAATAACGGCACTAAATAAACCACTAAAAAAAAAAGATAAAACTTGTGTGGGATCTTGATAAAAAAAAAATAGATACAAATATTTAATACAATATAAGCAATCTGATAATCATCTAAATAAATTAAATATTATGTATAGAAAATAAATATTAGAATGTTATTTAATTAAAACGTATTATTATTAATAGCAGCATAATAATCATGTTTAAATAACGTTTAAAATGAAATCATAATTTGTTCTTTAATTAGTAATTATTAGCAACATGTCAATTATTAAATAGTACACATCATATTTATATAATAAATAATTATATTTATACATGACTATGTATATTCATATTTGAACCTCCATTATGCCATGAAACATTGATGGATATTCCACTGTAAAAAACTCCCCCTATTTCAACTTAAAAATTAAGTTCAGTTCTACAGTATCTATTTTTTAAATAAATAGATACAAATATTTAATACAATATAGGCAATCTGATAACCATCTAAATAAATCAAATATTATGTATAGAAAAAAATATTAGAATTGTATTTAATTTAAACTTATTATTATTAGTAGCAGCATAAGAATAATAATCATGTTTAAATAATGTTTAAAATGAAATCATAATTTGTTCTTTAATTAGTAATTATTAGCAACATGTCAATTATTAAATAGTACACATCATATTTATAAAATAAATAATTATATTTATACATGACTGTATATTCATATTTGAACCTCCATAATGCCATGAAACATTGATGCATATTCCACTGTAAAAAAATCCCCCTATTTCAACTTAAAAATTTAAGTTCAGTTCTACCCTAATTTTTTTTTTTTATTGAATCAGCTTGTTTGTACACCATTTCAACTTAAAATATATAAAAGCGACTCGAGTTTAATCTCATATAACTTATTCAAAAAAAGTTGAAATTGCTTAAATGATTTTGATGAGTTAAAATAATCTGAAAACAAAGTTGCCGTGACTCGTTGATCATATCACTTTTTGGTGTGAATTAACTATTGATCTGTTAAGTGTTCTTTTTGTTAATTTATTATGAAATTTATCACAAAGAATTATAATTATTTACTTCAACACGTTTCCATATAGTTTAATATTTGCTTATTGAAGATAAATGGAGTGGGTTTAAAACTTTTTTCCTCTGCAAATGCTGACGGGTGGAAAAAGTCGCATCATGAATTTACCACATGGAATAGGCCTATAGAGGAATTATAGTCTTTATGTGTTTTGGACATAAAGGAAGGAATGTTAAAAAGTAAAACATAAATAAATAAAACAAGTAGGCCCATGACTCTTTCTTTTAATGAGCATCAGCAAAAAAAACTGTACAGTCTGAAGATGAGTATCATTGCTGTAAACTTGTGACACCAGCATTTTATCACCTCACAATCTCTTCTTGCAAAAAGCAGAAAGCCAATAGCAAATGTGAATATCCGTGTAGGCTTTGAAGAAGAGGTGGGGGGCTGCAATACATGTCCTTATCTAACCACACATCTGACTTTCTATCTTGCATCACTTTCAAAGGCATTTATAAATGCGAATCAGAGAATGATTGTCTCAGACATCTACAACGATTATCAAGCTTCCAGATCAACTTCAGATCAGAAACCATGAGGGCATCTTCTTTGTGTTTGGTGTTTGGGCTGGTCCTGCTGACGGCTTGGACCTCTGAGGCTCAGCGTAAGTTCTCTTGAAGAATAGTTTTGCTCTTGAATAAATTATCATGTATATGGACCTATAGGCCATTATAATTAAATTGCACATAAACGTTAAGTGATATTTCACGCTTGAAATTGATCAAATTAGAAACAAAATAATTGTACAGTCTTTGCCAGTTCCTCGTTGAACTAGGTATTTTCAAGTTTAAAAAAGTTTAAAATATATTGACATTGTGCGTTAAAGAAACCCAGAAACCAATATGCTGACCTGAAGATTTAGCAAATTAACATAAAGAACTACAAAGGACCTTTATTTTGAAGGACGTATTTCAACAGATTAATATTTAATGTATTTTGAACAGGTTTAAATATGGTCAAGATCTCTGCTAAAACAAATATATATATATATATATATATAGATATACGTTTTATCTCATCGACAGCTCATGCTGCAGTACCTGAGAGGTGTTGCTTCGATTTTGTCGACTTCCAAATACCAGGCAAAAAGATTGTGAGTGCTTTGAGGACAAGTTCACATTGTCCTATCGCAGGCGTTGTGTAAGTAGGCATATATTTAACTCTAAAATATAGGCTATAATTGAGAAAAAAATATCATATGCTCATTTTAATAGTAGACAAATGATAAAAATGTTTTTGCGTAAGCTAGCAATGACAAAAAAAAGTGAATATGAACTTTTTTCTCCTTAGGGTAACGACACCTAGAACCGAATTCTGTGTGAAACCAGACGAGGCTTGGATAAAGAAGATGCTGTAATGGGGCAGCAGCTTCGGAAACAGAAATGGAAACGCAACACCTACACAAAATAATACTGATTTTGCTTCATACAACTGTCCTTTCTTATTCATTTTTGTATCTCCTGATCAATACTGCAAGATACTGAATGTTAAACCTGTTGTCATTTCACGCTCTATCTATGCAAATGAATATTAAAATGCTCAGAGATTACCTGGTGTCAGACTCACTTTATGTGTTCATATCCACGTAGGCCTACAAAATATATAGTGAAAAAGACAGTATGACTCTCATCAGCATAACAGCTCATGTTTAATAATGTAGTTAGGCATAAAGAGTAACAGACAAAGATAAAATGAAAAATAACAACAACTGGAAATTAACATTTGCATAAAGAAACGCGTTTGCATAAATAGAACGCTGCAAAAGGAGTGTGTGATCATATAAGGTATAGCCAAAAGGTATCTTTGTTGCCCTTTGTATAAAATAAGATATTTTTTTTTAATATAATGAACTCATCTAGGACCAGCCCCGACAACCGAAATGCCAAGTCTCAACAATTGAAATGAAACAAACTCTCAGTTTAGCTTAGGAATAGATTTAGACATCTTTGTAATGCTTTTTGTATAATTACAACATAACACATTCAACCAGAATATTCGAGTAAGGTTGTCCAGGAAACTCAGTAGAGGGGTTGACATCATATCAGTGTTTATCAAACCTCAGATCAGAGTTCTTATGTAACATCAAACCACAGTATTTAAAACGTGAAGCAAATGTGACTCTCTCAGACATCTCCAAAAACTCTTCAGAGACTTCAGGTCAGAAACCATGAGGACATCTTGTGTTTATCTGGGGGTCTGGACGGTCCTGCTAATGGCCTGGACTTCTGAGGCTCAAAGTAGGTTTTCTTGGGGTCTTGATTAGATTTTTTTTTTAGGTGTACACAACTTTACACAAGAACACAGTTGTTCTGCAGAGAAATCACTCATATTGTTGTTTTCTGAAAATCGGTGTTGTTTTTATCTCACCAACCTCCACCAAGCTTCTCCAATCTCTAACAGGTGTTGTTTCAGTTTTATAAACTTCCAAAAATTCCACACAACACAATTTTTTATCATGTTTCGTCACAGCAATTTAAACAAACTTTTTCCCCTCAGGGTTTCAACATTTAGAGGCAACTTTTGTGTGAAACCAGATGCGGCTTGGGAAAGCAGAGAAATGTGAGCTTTGTCATTAAAAATGCAACGTTTGTATTAGTTTATGAACCATCCCCTTTCTAACTAAATGCATTTTTGTTCTGTCTCATTAACAGGGGTGGTGTGACAGAACCGGCAACTACTGTCCAAATTTCATCCAGGCAACCCAAGACCCGATGCCTTTGCAAATGCCCATGCCAGCAAACCACCCCCAACACCGACCCTGACGCAGACAACAGTGGAGATCAAGATGATTTCACATTTGTGTAAGTTCTCTTCTCCAAATAGGCTACGGTCAGAAAATGGTTCTTAATGGATTGTGAAGTGCTACAAAGAACCATTTAAAGAACCTTTAAATACTGTTCTGCTGTTTTCTGAAGAGCAGCGTTGTTGTTTTTTGGTATAATTGCTGTGAATACTACTAAAACTCAATAAAATATACAGTACATTTACAACTTTAAAGACCAGATTCTGAGAGGCGTTTTTTATTTTCATTGACTTTCAAATTCCATGCAACCAAAATTGTCTGCATTTAATTCTAAAAAGATTTAAAAGAATTAATGTGTTCATCTTAAACTCCCCCTCAGGCTTTTAATGTTGTTTATATGTCTGTGGTGTTTTTAATATGCTTTAAGACAAACCATGAACAAATACATAAGTCGACACCACAAACTATCTTGTAACCAATCAGATCAACGTGTGATTATCAACGAGTGGATCTCTGAGTGAGTGGAGGCCGGGCTAATTTGCATATTCATAGAAGAACCGCGCGCGTATACTAAATGAGGCAAGGGTGTAGTTACTATTTTAAGGCATGAAGACTTTTTTTTTAATGAGATGAGTTATAAGGATACAAGTATTGACTACAGGAGGGTTTTAAATGATAGAAAAAATTACAAAACAATAAAATAAAAATCCCCTCATGGGTTATGATATTAAAAAAACATATTTTTATACCAGAGGAGACTTGTGTTTTATTGGGCTTATATTCGACTTCCTCTTTAATATTGCGAGATATTAGGCATATACACTACCGTTCAAAAGTTTGGGGTCGGTACGATTTTAAATACTTTTAAAAGAATTCTCTTCTGCTAACCATGGCTGCGCTTATTTGATTAAAAATACAACAAAAATCAGTTATAGTATTAAATATTATTCCAGTGTAAATCAGCTTTTTTCTGTGTGAATATATAGTAAAGTGTAATTTATTCCTGTGATCAAAGCTGAATTTTCAGCATCACCAGTGTCAGTGTCTTCAGTGTCAAATGATCCTTCACAAATCAGTATAATATGAGGATTTGATGCTCAAGAAACATTTATTATTACTATCAATGTTGAAACAGTTGTTGGTCTGTCAGTTGTACAGTTTTTTTTTTTTTTTTAGGATTCTTTGATGAATAGGAAGTTCAAAAGAACAGTATTTGTTTGAAATAGAATCTTTTGTAACATTATAAATGTCTTTACTGTCCTTGATAAATAAAAGTATTGATTTCTTTCCTCCAAAAAATAAAAATAAAATTCTCACTGACCCCAAACCTTTGAACGGTAGTGTATATATATATAAAAATACTAAAACTGAACAGTAAAATTAGAAAACTAAAACTATTCTCATTTCACAGAAATCGTACTGAATCCATGCTTAACAGTTAAAAATGTAAATGAATATCAAAATACACAGAGATTATCTCTCGACATTGTGTCAGAACAAATACTGATAAGATAAGAAAAGACAAGACAACCATCATCAGCATAACATCTCGAGTTTAATAATGTACAGTTAGGCAGAAAGAATAACAGACGAAGATAACAATTGGAGATTGAAAATCGTATACATGTACAAAAAATAATAAGAAAACAAACATGTCTAGAGCCATGTTCAGGTCTACTATTAAAAAAAAGTGTAAAGTGGTTAAAGAAAAGAGTTTTTCCTTTTTTTCCAAAATACTGTTCTACTAAAAACCAAACATGTACTTCAGAGCGTCTGTGTGGCTTAGCGATCCACGACAGGAAGAACTGAGTGTTCGAACTTGCATAATGACAAACCTGCAAAATATAAAATAGTGTGTGAACACATGAGGCATACAGGGACTCTTTGCAATGGGTAGGTTGAGAGTTTCGTGCACGTTGCGGTCTATACGCTGTTTGGCATGTGATAGAGCCTGCGTGCCGTCAACCTAAACTATCCAACAGAAACAAAGAGTGCTTAGATTCTTATCAACATTTGGAATGAAAAATGAGTTTATTATAAAGGGGTGTAAGTATGGCTAAAATAAGATCTGTTTAGATATACTGAACTCACTTAGGTTAAAACTGACCACCAAGCCCTGATCTAGGACCAGCTCCAACAACTAAGTCCCAACTATTAAAATGAAACAAACTGGTCTCAGATCAGTTTCGGAATAGACTGAGGGACATCTGACATGATCACAATAAAAACAAAACATGAGCACAGCAGACAAATGCCGAAACAGTCTGCAATTTTAAGGCAGAACGTTCGAGCAACGTCCTCAAATATTATTGTAATTATTTTATATTCATCCATATCAAAACTGACAATTGTTTGTTATTAATGTTGAATGTTTTGTAGAACACCAACTATGGTAGGGACACAATTATCTACGTACACAGCCAGCAAATGGTTTAAAAACATGGAAAACGGTTATTGTCATCATTTAGCTGTGCAATAATGTTTAAACAGGTTTGTCTATGACCCCAGAGAAACACACAACATCATGTGACGCACACCAGCAGGTCTCAAACGCCATAAACCATCCATTCAAAGCTTTGCTTTTCAACACATTCATTAACTCTTTGCACATGCTTCCATCCATCTGTCTCATTCTCCATCACATCTTTACAAACCTACTGAGACCTTCTTAAGACTAAGGGTGTGCGAATGATGTCAGCAGAGTTGAAAATGTCTGAAAACAGCCTGTTCTGTTAGGAAATATTGCAAACACCAAGTCTTGTTTGTAATAACCATCATTTAACGTTTCAAGGGAATGTTGGTCAAGTAAGACATGCACTTGACATACCGGGCATGTGGTGTAATGTGACAGTCAGCCAGAAGATGGTGATCAACTCATTTGATTTGGTGCAATGGAGTGTGTAAACGTGTACAGTAGCACTTGCGCATGTGTTTCTTATGGGGTCATAGATCATCATAGCATCAAAAGAGATGCAAGGAGTTTCTGGTTTTAAGAGGAATGGAGCTTCATGTTTTCTTTAAAAGATTTTCCCTTTTTTCTTGTTCTTTTCCATTGTCCTGAAAACAAAGAAAGACAGAAGAAATTAACCAATAGGAATCATTTCAAATATAAATTTAACAATTAGTTATAGCTATTGTAGCTTTATTGTAATTACTAATATTTTCCTATTTTAGTTGTTATAATTAATACTATTTTTCCCTTTTTCCTATTATCCCACTGCTTTTGTTTTGTGTATTGATGCTCTGGTAATAATATATACTACCCTTCAAAACTAAGGTTGTTTTTAAGAAATTGGAAACATTGAATTGATTAAAAAGTGACAGTAAAGACATTTATAATGTTGCAAAAAATTATAATCATCAAACATCCTGGATAAAATGTATTAAATGTAAGCAGCACAACTGTTTCCAACATTGATGTTTCTTGAGCATCAAATCAGTGTTTTAGAATGATTTCTGAAGGATCATGTGACACTGAAGACTGGAGTAATGATGCTGAAAATTCAGCGTTGATCACAGGAATGAATTACATTTTTAAATATATTAAAATAGAAAAAAGTTATTTTAAATGAAAATAATATTTCAAAATATATTAGTTTGTATTGTATTTTTAATTGAATAAACGCAGCCTTGATATAAGCATTAAAAAATCTTACCGACCCCAAATCTTAGTAGTGAATGTATAACAGTAATCTTTATAATTTTGTATAAAGTATAAAGTGAGTTTAGAAAAGATATAAACCACAATATGCAGAATATCTTGGAGTTGTCTTATACATTTTAAATAATACTTTTTATTAAATTTATCAAATATAAATTTACCATCATTTTTTAAAAATTAAAATAATGAAATTGTAAAAACACTAAATAATTTTTTTTATTACTTTCTTTAAAAACAAACATTTTTGATTATAAGAGGCAAATGTGACAGTCAGCCTTGCTTGAATCTGCTTCTATGCATGAGTGCAGTTCCTTATTAAAAAAATAACTGCATTATTTAGTGACTGAATAATGCAGATTTACAAAAAGACTTGTTTAAGAGAGAGAAAGCAGGGCACTGAGGAATTGAGATGAACAGAGAAAGTCTTACTTTGATGCATCAAGTTTCTGCTGCTCCAGGATGCGCTGGTGGGCCTCCCAGTTGACTTTTTCCTCCTCAAACTGGCGTCTCTTCTCATCAAGCTCTTTATACTGAGCTTCTAGATTCTTCTTCATCTGTTCGTGACGCCGTTCCAACTGCATCGAGGAAGCACAGGGATGAACTCAGTTAAGTATTCGTGATCTTCCATGTTAAATGGAACTAGAAACCGAACACATACACACCTCTGCCTCAGAGTCCTTCAGTTTTTGCTTCTTTTCTTTGACCTTCATCTCAAAGACTTGCTCCATCTCTGTCTCCATCTTCTTCATCTTCATCACATGCTCCCTCCTCTCCTCCTCCATCTGAGCCAAGGGACTCCTACAAGAGTGACATTCCAACAAGGAACTTTTTTTTACATGTTCAGACTAGACGTGTTAACTTCAACATGAAACGGAAGTTTTGATAGTCTTTTCTTCCCTATTGTGACGTATATCTAAGTTAAATTTTGGGCGGGACTTGATTTTGTCCATGGGGAATTTGATTGGATCGTTGGATCATTGTGGTTGGCTATTGCTGTGATCTCATGTGAGTGACACGCCATCAGATAACAGTTACTTTGATTAAAGATAACAAGGTCACATGAATAAAAACCATTATGTGGACAAATAAATCATTTATAATAAATACTGCAATATTCTATAAAAAATCTGAATTGTCCATTTTGATTTCATGGTGACTAAGAATTTGTAACCACTAGGCTACAGGTCTGAGATGTTCACCATCAATGTCTTGGATTGCAAGAAATCCAGGATCTCAGTCACATACTCAATACATACGTTTCCATCCAAAGTTGTGAATGTAAATTATGCGCAAAATTGGAATATCGCAAAAACCCACAAATATATATCGCAAACACGTTTCCATCCCATGTGTTCAAGAGATCAAAATCCTCACTTCCTGGGAAATTGGTGCAAAATATCTGTAGTAAAATGAAAGCTGCTTAATCGGGGAAGCCACTGTGGCTCTTTTCGGATCGACGGACTACCAAGAGAGATATTTGCAATATTAGAATTTATGCGTTTCCATCCAGTGATTTTTTATGCGATAACACAAAATTTGCATAAAAATAGGTGGACAGAAACAGCTTATGTTGTTTGGGACAAAAATTGAACTAAAAATAAAACTGTTCTTGTACTTTGTTAGCTGGCCCTTGTTCTTGGTGGCATCGACCCCGTTGCAGGTGACGGCTGCTAGTTTCTTGCTGCGGTAGTTTTCATAGTGAACATTATTGGTCACGTCCTTCAGGTCCTGCATGTGAGTCCTGGAACGGCAATGGACAGTTCACTGATAGGTTAAACGCTGATTAAAACTCTAATTAACAAAGATTTGTAACATGCATTTTGTTAGAAACAGAAATGATCTGCATCCACAGTATTTGACTTAATTAGCGACTTGATGGTGGAAACCTGTCAGGACACAGTGTTAATTCACAACGATCTCATCTCACCTGATGAGCATATTCCTCAGGACCGTGAAGTCACAGTGCTCACCGTTCTCCACTGAAACGAGACGAAACAGATGTTTTAGCCCAATAACATCATCAGAATGACTTACAAACCCTTCAAAACTTTAGAATCCCTAAGAGATCATTTTTTAGATTTAACTTAAAATTTGAAAATACAAAGTTAAGCACTTAATTAAAAAAAAAAAAGTAAGTAGGCACAAATTGCATATTCATGTGCAGGACTACAACATATAATGCAGTAAAATTGTTAAGTGTAACAATAAAAGTTGACATGAAATGCATTATTTTTGTGGATGTATGCAGTTATGATGACCTCTATTTTGATTAAAAACCCCAGTCAAAAACATTTTTTTTTTCTAGGGATGCTTGATATATCAATACCGTATCGTTATAGGCCTTTTTTTTATCAGTATCAGTCAATATTGGAAATTTGGTATATGTTTATACCTAGATATAAAGATATAATATTTTTTTACATTTAGACAGTGTTTGCCATCTTTTAATCTTTACAATAATTTAATAACAGTGTTAAATGTAATCTTTAATAAATCTCAAAACTCATACTGTACATTACAATATAATTTTGTGATGCCTACAGTACATTCACTTTCATATTGCATTTATTTTAGTATTTATTTAGGCAAAAATTTATAGAATTATACTACTAGCCATTTATAATGAATGGACTACTCATATTAGCCAGAATTTTAATATCAGTGCATCCCTAATTATTAAAACGTTTAAAAACAGACATAATACAGTGACAAATTAAACATTTAAAGCAAACAGGATCAGAAACTGAGGTTGTTGACGAAACATACATTTAACAACATCAGACAAATGGAAAATTAAAAAAAAACCAAGTCAGGTGGTTGTCAATTAAACGAAAACACAATTTAGTATTTAGATACCAAACTGAATATGCTAAAAGGTTAAACAGTCACAAAAATAAACAACAGGTTAGCAGTTCAGACCGCTGTTATGTGATCATACACAGGTATGTATGATCAAACATCGCTGTCATCACATGGGATTCTGGAAAAGGACCAGAGACACTGGTTTCTGACAGATGGTTAAAGGATGAAACGTCTTCTGCATGTCTAACCTGCACAGTTATAGAGCCCTAAGATGCTTTACCAAGCGAGAACCTTACCTATACGGAGAACTCATTCTGATTGACTGCCCCACGTGTCAATCACCTGCTACAACCACCTACCTGTGAGAGAGCAGTTGAAGGGGCGGGACTAAAGGCTCTCCTGTAGGAACCCCCACTCAACCTGTGATTTATGGGCTACTAAGACTAAAAATGGTGTGTTGTGGGAAGGGTTACATGGCATAGCGATGACAAGCAGAGATACCAGCCAAATGGAGCTAGGGGGAGGGGCAGGAGGTGGAGTCATATGTCTAAAGGGATCATGGGATTTGTCATTTCTTTTTTGATGGGACAGCAACAGCAAACTCCTGATGCTGACAGGTATGAACGGGGCTTCAAAAACACGTCCCATTTATTAAATCATATGTTAGAATAGTGTTCATCAGAGGTTAGGGTGGAAACATTAGCACTCAGTCAACCTGCATCAGAGTTCAGAGGCAAAAATGCTTATAAATGATGATGTCAAAAGTACTATAATAAAATTTGACCCAAGACGCATTTTGTACCCCTCAATGTATTTAAATCCAAAATGGAAGTTGGAAATAAGTAATGGGAGGCATGCATGTCTGAATAAGGTTTTGTTTAAAAATAAGAGTAGGGCTGGATGATATCTCAAATATTTATGATGTATTCGCAATGATTTTGTTGGCAATATCAAATTAAGCAACAACATACATTTTCAGATATAGTTTTAATTTAGCCAAGGTTTGTGTTCCCTCCTTGTCTATGATTCACAAAATATCTGCAAGTAAACATTGCTGCTTATCAACATTGCCACATTAGCAAATAAATAGACATGATACAATTTTGTGTCATTTTGTGGATTATATATAAAAGTTAGAAAAATTAAATTTATAATATATCGTTTTTTTATTAGTGCTATTCAAATCGATTAATCGCGATTAATCACATCTAACATAAAAGTATATATACACACACACACATAAATATATATATATATATATATATATATATATATATATAAACAATTATATACACACACATATTATATGTTAGATGTGATTGACAAAATTAATCGATTTGACAGCACTAGTTATGTAACAATGTCAAATAAATGCTATTCTTTTGAATTCAAAGAATCCTTAAAAAATGAATCACAAAAATATTAAGCAGCACAACTGTTTTCAATATTGATAATAATAATAAAGGTTTCTTGGGCCATAAATCATCATATTAGAACGATTTCTGAAGGAAGACTGGAGTAATGATGCTGAAAATTCAGCTTTGCATCACAGGAATAAATTATTTATATTTGAAATATTAATGTGGAAAACGGATTTTTTTCAATGTTATAATATTTAACAAAATTACAGTTTTTACTTTCGATCAAATAAATGCAGCCTTGGTGAGCAAAAGACTTTCAAATTATATTATGCAACAACATAATAATTTGAGTTTTCATTTTTTAATAAATCAGAAAAATGCATCATCAAAAGGCTGTAAACTAGTGAGATATAATTGCTTTCTATATCGTCCAGCCCTACATAGAGGGTAATTAAGAACATATAAACATGTTAGAGAGCAGCGCTGCTCTATTTTCTATGGGGGCTGTAGCTTATAGGTTTCTTCATGACTATTTATAGAGCACACATCTGACAATCAGCAAAGTTTCAGAGCAGCAAAAAGGTGGAAGAGGAAGGAGGGGGGAGGCCTTAACGAAGAGAATATAAATGAAAAATGGTTTTCTTTACCAATAATGCCCTCTGTCAGTCATGGAAAAGAGCAGACAGAAAGAAAAAAAAAAAAAAGAGAAAAGAAAGAATGACACGTAAACAACTGAGGAAAAAAAGACACACTCACTCACCAACAACAATAGGGATCGACCGATATGGATTTTTTAGTGCCGATACCGATACCGATTTTTTTCCCATCAGCCTTAGCCGATGACCGATACGGGCTGCCGATTTTCTTGAGCCGATATTTGGAGCCGATACATTTTGCTCCCTCAATTTACATCATAAAAATGACATGATGTTAACAAATGTTACAGGTCTCAATTTAATAAAAGTAACATTTATTTAAAGTAAAAAAATCAATATTTAACAAATAGTAAAAACATGTGAGGTAGAACAAGAACAAGTAGATAAACAATATTTAACAAATATTAAAAACATGAGGTAGAACAAAAAAAAGTTCACTGCTGAAAATAAATATTTAAGCATAAATAAAATAATTACACTATTGCACACAGTAGCAACCAGCATAATAAAGTGCACAGTGCACACTGTACTTCATTTTAAAAGTAACGAACTATTTACTGCCATGGTTTAAATTTTTCTACATAAAATAAAATGAGCATGTCTCTAATATCACTGCGATGGCGAGGGAGACACACCACACGCGTCCAAACCTCAGCCAGGTGGTCGCTGAATAAATCTCCCACAAAAAGCACGGAACAACGTTGGTATTACTTAATCCTATGACCAGTGTTCGTAACAGCTACCGTACGCATACTAGGGCTGTCAAAATTGCTCAAATGGCGTTTGTCTATTCCCTCTAAAAAACATATTTGAACATCGTCGTGCATTTGGTCAATGACGCGCATTACGTCAATAACAGGACAAATTAATAGAAAGAGACATAACTACTAGTATTAAGTAGCTTATTTGAGTTTAAACATATTTGACAACGTATTACTACAAAAAAACCCCGAGTAAATCAACTAATGGCCAAGACCGCAGAGCTCACTCTGGCTCGCCCGGACTCGCAGGCGCACTCTCTCTCTCTCTCTCGCACTCACCCTCACGCTCTCCGCGCATACCGGTTTAAATGAACAACAACAAACAAATGTTGAGTGCTGATCAAGAGTTTTGTGCAAGCAATTTAAGGTATATAGCAGGCTTCATTCAGTGATTGAAACAAATACATTAATTGAAGTTTCACAGTAACATTACATTGAACCGACACTGAGCGCTCCGAGCGAGCTGTGCTGTGGTAACGTTAGTCTGCTACCGCGGGCGTGTTTTTCCACATTCGAATATTAATTTTCACCTTCAAAATTCAGGTTTTTTTTAAACTATTCGAATATATACCGGTATTCGTATTTAGAATATTCATTGACAGCCCTAATGCATACTGAACGGATAGCCTACAGCTATTTGCAGCTCCCTAAATACAATGGCAAGCAAGCAGTTTTATAGACGAGTCATTCGCGTTTTCCATTTGGACCCACAAACTTGCTTAGCTATATAGTTGCAACCACATAACAGTTATAGAGCAACGTGTTTCCATTTTCAAAGTGTTTGACAATATTTCAGCAGTCAAACAAGTTAAAAGATGCTTTGAAAGTTTAAAAGTTACCGTTATCTTGAAGCGCAGGTTGCACTCTGCTAGTGGGGGAGGGACAGTGCAGGGTCGGCACGTGAACTGCAGCGTCTCCAGCAGCACAGAGCTGCCTGTGGACGACGCCTGTTTATAAATAATGCCGGGAAAAAACTATCGGCGAACGCAGCAGCCGCGTATCGGCCGATTCCGATACACGTAAAAACCGCAAATATCGGCCCGATATATCGGCTGGCCGATATATCGGTCGATCACTAAACAACAACAATTCCAAATGAAAAAGTTTTGCAGGGAGGAGAGAGCTTTGTAAAGAAAGAAAGGCGGGGAAAGTAAAACCACAACAACAAGTCATTTGTGGGCCGTGATGAAAAGAAGGGGTGACAGTCTTTCTCTCTGGAAATCCTTATACCTCGTCGTCATCCCTTTTCCAGAATCCCTCAGCTGGGAGGGAGATCATCCAGCAAGCTCATGCATTTGTTTTGTACGCACTGAAACACCCCTATTCCCTTAGAAATGGTGCAATCCTCATGACGAACACATATGGGTCATGCTGATGCAGGGCGTACCTTCTGCCACACCCCAGGGGTACTGGCGACCTCTGACCTTCCTGCCATTCACTTCGATCACCACATTGCTTCCGACCACAGCCAGAGGCATCTTCTCCTGTCGGTACAAACCACATAATTACAGAGAGTCTGTATCGACCACACACTGGGAAAGTGAACGGATGCAGTGGGTCTGACGTAGGCTCGTATCGATCTTTAGATCCAGATCAGGCCGGATCAGACAACTAAATTAGTTCTGTAGCAGTTCGCATCTCGTCAATAATAACCTCAAGCTGACCTAGAGAAACAAACAACAAACCATTTAGCATTGCTTTTCCATGGTGAAATTCAAATTTCTTAATTTAAGTAACATTGTGTATGTTAACATTAGTTAATGCGTTAGGAAATCTTCAAGATTCTCACTGAATGTGTTTCCATGACTTATCCATAGTTAGACTTTTCCAGTTGTTCACGATTTTTATATAATTACATATCGTCAGAGTCGGGCAGAAATCTCATATCTCCAAAACCACGAAGATCAGGAAATGGAAAAAAACCCACTTAATTAAACAACTGCGGCTGCATCCGAAAGAGAATACTTCCCTTTACTATCCCATGAGGCCACGGTAGAGGATTTGTGAATGGCCATGAAGTGGCGCAACTGACGCAACAACAACAACATGGCGGTTGCACTACATCTGAATTTCATTCATACTACCCATATTCATACTATATAGGACATACTTTTTTAACGGTCACGAAGTAAGTTAAAATTCAAATGTAGTACCTACTTTATATATGTCCGAACACTTGTATGTCATTATATTATTAACGTTTTACCAAAATCAAGCTCAAAGTTAGTCAAAAGGTTTTGACCTGGACTGACTCTTTACCTTTATCTTTCGGATCAGTTTGCTGTCCTCATCGTCCTCTGTGTCGGGAAACTCGTAGATCTTGATTTTGTGCTCTTGGATCTCCTTCATTATCTTATGATGAGAGAATAGAAGTATACTTGAGAAAAATGTTGAAATGTAAATCATTAGCAGTAAAATGTGAAATCACACTAACACACACCTGTTTCTTGAAAAGCTGGCACTCTTCTGGCGTGAGAGTGTCGGCCTTGGCGATGAGGGGAATGACATTGACTTTGTCATGCAGACGCTTCATGAACTCGATATCAAGAGGCTTCAGTCTGAAAAAGATTCAGAATACAATTCAATTGCATTGACATATTAGATTTGTTTTGTGAAGCTGCTTGTGGTGCTAATACATTATTATTTAGATTACTCAATTAATTATTGTATGCCATAAAATATACAATGGAAATATTTGTAATGCTGATATCACTACAATTCACTAAATGGTAAAATAAAATGAAATAATATATATATATATATATATGAATAAATAAAAAATTAATGATTTGAATGAAATAAATTGTGCCCATTACATTTTGTCTTCTAGGGGTATTGGATATAGAATAGAATTGTAAAGTATAGTATATGATTTAATATAGCATAGCATATGATATTGTATAGTGCATTATGGAAATCATTTTACAACCAAGTGTATGAATAATCCTGCAAAAGTCTTACAAGTAGAGAAACCACTACAACTACATGAAACAATGGGGGGAAAAAATAAACAATAAAAAGGTGCAGCTTTTCACATGGTTTTCCACACAGGTTATATGACTCTAATGAACAGTAACAGTAAGGTAAAGTAAAACATTAGATAAGTTTGCGAAGCTTACACATAAACCAAATACAAAATAGTCCTTTGAAGTGATGCAATAGAACTAAAAACCAGTCAGGGTCCAGAAACAGGCATGAATAAACAGATCAGAGCAGAGGGCACACTGTCAGCACAGAGCCACCACACAGCACTGACCCTTTTCTCATCGTTTCCTTCCAAACCAGAAAAATTATGTCATGGAGGGAATAAGGGGTTCGCTCTGTCTCTCTTAGCATCACTTACACTTGGGATTCCAGACAAAGAGGCTGTTCTTTACACTGAGCTGGGTTTGTGTGTGTTTGTGTGGCTTTGGGGGCCAGCTGAGGGGCTGTTTATACATTTCAGGAATGTCCAGACTGAAGATGCAACACAAAGGTCACAGAGATATGAATGTTGCTTCATAGTGGCGTCTCAATCAGGGCACGCAAGAAAATGTGTGGGGCTGTTTGAACACATAGGACCATAGGACACTGAATGTAAATAGAAAAGTAAACAGGGCTTTGTTTTTTCTATTCAGAGAGTGTAGATGATGAACTAATACACTAAAGAATTATAGAGGATTTTCCCACATCAATGCCATTAAATCACACAACAATGGACGGATGAATTGAAAAAGATAAATGTAAAAACATCCAAAAATAAATAAATTAAATGTATGTTTCAAGGATCCTGTGATAAATATTCCCCAAAGCAAATAAAGCATTCTTGCATCACAAAAAATGTCATGTTTTATCACATATCTTATTTCTGTCTTAACAAACGTTCCTTTCCTTAGTAAAACTAAGCCAAATAAGCTAATCATTTTCAAAAATAAACAAGGCAACGCCTATCATACGTCAGGCCCAGTTTAGTGGGCATTATGTAATGCTTTTGGATATGGGTGTGGGAAGTATGTATCTCAATCTGTGCTCATATGTCCTCTGTGTCTCCATTTCATTTCATGCATTTCTATCAGTGCACGTTCTGATGCCTTCATTGTACCACAGTCGTATAGTATTCACATACAAAATTCCAACATCCTCCCACTCCTGAACAAAGTGCAAAATGTGTAAATCAGGACGTGTGTGTGTGTGTGTGGTGCTTCTATTTTAAGCTGGTTGATTCATGCCAGGCTTCATTTGTAGAGGCTGCAGTACCTACCCGTGACCAGAGGGGGCGATGAAGTACAAGCAGCAGTGCACCCTGTTGTCAGGCATCTGCCTCCTGTTGACACGGGATTCAGCATTCAGGAAGTCTTCAAACTTACTGTCGATGTAGTTGATGACTGGCTGCCAGCTGAAAAAAGGGGAGGAGAGATGAAAGGCAAAGTCAGATGCAAAGCTTGAGAAGTCCATGCATCATAATCTGTAATAAATAGATTTAAAACCAATCACAAATGGCATTCTGCATATAAAATGATTTTATCTTTTGACAATAATGGAGTTTATGTCTCTGATAGTGTCTATCCAAGAGTCTGAAAGGCACATGAAATTAAAATCACCAGTTGCTGTTGTCCACCGCATCTCCAAAGCCTGGTGTGTCGACAATGGTGAGAGTGAGCTGAACGCCCCCCTCCTTTATCAGCACTTTGGACTGTTCCACCTGAAAGGAGGACCAGAATTATTACAACAGGATATGTGACATAGCCTGAGAAAGCAGCCTTGCCTGTTTGCTCCAGATTCACGTCATTGACCAAACATAAATGCTAACTAACCCTAAACTACAAACACTCATGTGATTGGAGAGTTTGGTTAATAAAGTTTTTGCATTAGAGTTTGTACTTTTGCATTTGCATCAAACCAAAAGTAAGCCTACAAAGGTCATAGATGACTCTAGAACATAAACATTGATGAACACTATAGCCTTATAGCTCATACAAAATACGCTAATGACTAATATAGGCATTAAAAAGGGATAAGTCATGATAGTCAACTAGTTGTCCAACAAATGGCTACATTGACTAGTTTATGAATCTTTAAATTCAATGCTGCTACAGACATACACCTTCATGTTTTAAAGTAGGTCAAGCTAAAAATAGTCCAACTTTAAAAACGAAAGGAGTCAGTATTCAAAATCAACTATAGTTGGTATCTTCCGATTAGTTAACTAGTAATTCGGGCAACAATGTGCATTAGTTGTATTCTACGGCAGGCCGTGTGTGAGACAACGCGTTGAGATGAGACTGAAAAAGTTATTTCAGCTGCTTTCAGTACAAACGCTTATTCTCACAGGCCTGGTTATTTTTGGCTGACCCGGTTTTTCAAAAACTGCACTCTCATTCACACATGCGCAACTTTCTCACTAACAAAAATAACCATAACCTCTCTTAGTTCTTCAAAAAGAGGAGAGAGAGGGAGGGAGAAAAATGAGACACTGAAGGAGAAGAAAGTGTGAGAGAGTACACGAGCGAAATGGAGAAGAGGAGTAAGCCTTAATAAAACTCTTCCATTCTCGCTCATGCTAGGATGTTTATGAGGCACGTCGGACCACTTCAGTTTGCAACAACATAGAAAAAGAAATAAATTAAAATGTAGAAACACAAAGCCACAAAAATGTCAAGACTTTCATTCGATGCAACCAGAGTGGCCCTTGTGTGGCTGCTATCACAAACACTGCAGATTGTTTTGGAATATAAATACTCTCACCGCTGTCTCCATGTCCTGCATGGACTGACCACAGAGGACTAGACAGCCACACATCACAACATGGCCTTTGGCCAGGCTGACAAATTTATACCATGGGCATTCATGGTGGAACAGCTCAAGTGCATCACGCAAAGGCATCCTGCCACCCAGGAGAGTGCAAGAGTGGGTTAAAAAGGGTATTAAGAGGAAAGCATGGACTTGAGAAACGTTAATATGTCAGAGAGATTTCATCTGTGAAAGTAGTGATGTAGAGAATGTAAAGTCCAAGTAAGCCTCCTGCAAGTGACATGATGAAATCTAAAATCTCTAAAACTTAAGTTGTTTTGTGGTAAAAACAGAGAGGTGGTGCCTTGGGATGAATCTTCCGTTGAATTCCAGTGGCAGCAAGCAAAGCCCTTTTGGTTTTAGATCATCTATCCAAACGAGAATGGATTTGTTTAGATGTTGGGTGACAGATGCCACAGTTTCATTCAAACTGTAAGATGATGTGAAGGTTGTGATTGGTCGGTTTCTGCACAGCGCTGAGAAAAGCAAATAACCCACATGAACACAGAGCACAAAGAGAACACAGGCTACTATGAGTGGAATGAAATCGACAAACTGCACACTAAATGTGTACTTGCGGTCTTGCAATAGTAACGGTGTATGTGAAGTCTATGAGGCTATAGGGTGTCCCATTTGTCATTTGAGGTTTCAGATGGGTGCTCATGAGCCTTGACTAGGGATGCAACAATTTTAGATTTTGTTGGCACGATTATAGTCTGAGGAATAATCATGGTTTTACGATTATTATGCATTAATACAATGTATAAAATCACATGAACACTCTTTAGATTTTAAAGTGTTATTTATTGCTGCTTTTTGAAACCGAAATAACAAAGTAACCAAATAGTACAGCACAAAATAATAATAAAGACAAGTTCATCTTTCACTTTGGTATTCGAAAAAGTTCTATAAACATCCATGTCAGTATTAGGGGAATAAACTGAACTGTTATTGTCACCAACTGTCATTCTTCATAAGTATTCATTTGAATAATCCTTTTAATAATTCATCTAATTTTACATGTGGGATGTAGCCTGAGAAAATCATGTCTATTATTTGGGTTTGTTTGTTTGAAGTTTTAGTAAAAGTGATGCAGTGTTATTAACAAGGCCGGCGCCACGAGGGCATTGCTCACTCAGATCTGATTTGTGCCCCCTTCCCCCCGAAACGCAAGTGATTTTAACCCATTGACGCATACGATCACATCGGTTCTATTAGAATGTTCAATGCGTCACTGATAAGTTCAAACGTGCTTTCGCGCGTTGGCTGGCACTGAGCCAAAGAAGAATGCGTTCAGTGCTTTTCATATCTCAACTATTCAGAGTTTTTAAAGGGATAGTTCACTTTGAAATTAATTTTTGGTATGTTTTAGCTTACCTCAAGGGCATCCAAGATGTAGGTGTCTTTGTTTCCGCAGTAGTTTCAATTTTGATATTTTTAGGTCAAACCGTTCTTGTCTGTCAGTCATATAATGCAGGTCTATGGTCACCACCTCAAAGAGCATGCACAGAGAAGTCCAAATTAAACATGATTTAATGACTCGTAAATGTAAGTACACTCTGATGGCCTAAGACACGAAACGAGCGGTTTGTGTGAGAAAACGAACAGTATTTATATCGTTTTTACCTCTTGTAACCACAGCCACGTCCAAGTGATCTGAGGGCGCGGGCGCTTCGGTCTGCGCAAGCGCCGGAAGTGATCTCTCGCGCGTGTACGTGTAAAATTCAACGCTGTCTGTTGATATATCGAAATCGTCTTCCATTGCGATTTCCTGTATATCTAAATATGTTTAGATCTTCACAGTGAAAGGTAACACTTCCGAAATCTCTGTGTAAACAATGAGTGACGTACACGCGCGAGAGATCACTTCCGGCGCTTGCGCAGACCGAAGCGCCCGCGCCCTCAGATCACTTGGACGTGGCTGTGGTTACAAGAGGTAAAAACGATATAAATACTGTTCGTTTTCTCACACAAACCGCTCGTTTCGTGTCTTAGGCCATCAATGTGTACTTACATTTACGAGTCATTAAATCATGTTTAATTTGGACTTCTCTGTGCATGCTCTTTGAGGAAGTGACCATAGACCTGCATTATATGACTGACAGACAAGAACGGTTTGACCAAAAATATCAAAATTGAAACTACGGCGGAAAAAAAGACACCTACATCTTGGATGCCCTTGAGGTAAGCTAAAACATACCAAAAATTAATTTCAAAGTAAACTATCCCTTTAACCACATAATGTTCCTTTAAATGAAGTACTACTATATATATATATATAAAGACATTTATAGTTAAGTTCAAATTCCATACACTGATGTCTACGGAAGCTGCAATAATTATCCTTTCAATTAGGGCTGCACGATTTGGGGAAAATGTCATATTGCGATTAATGAGGTCAATATTGCGATTACGATATAATATACAAATGGTTTCATGAGTCAACTTGCTTGGTTCTAAAGTAAAATGCACACAGAGATTAGTGATCATTCTGTGTATTAATGTGTATTTCTCAACTCAAACTAGCAACAACAACTAAATGATTGATAACACCTATAATGATCAATAAACCATTGATGTCTGGATAAAAATGACGACACCCCCCACATTTTAAACGTTAATTATAGCCATCCAACATTACAGTGATTCCATCAATACAATTGAAAGCTATCAACTTTTAAAATATTTATTAGGCTTAAAAAATAATAATAACAGCTTTTAAATTAAGTGAACTTCAAACAATCCTCACATAAACCCATAATAAATGCCATATTTACCTGTGCCCTTCCTGTCTTAACAGGTAGGATTGAGGATTTATATACAGATTTATATACAGAAATTGAATAAAGTTATCAAACAGTCTGCGCTACATGAATTATAAATTATATATATAGACTAATCCTTATTAAACCCACAAAACTTCTTTAGTCAAGAGCAGTGAGTAATTTTCTGTTCCCTTTGTTCTTTGATTAACTTTACTGACGGAAAGCTTTATTCGCTGCTGGCCCTTTAAGAGCAGCCGTTGCCGAGACGCGGATCTCACACGCGCCTCATTCTCTCACAAGCACAACTCTTTTTGTCCATCATAAGACTGCTCTTATGTTATGAAGATAATCGACAAAACGACATTTTGGCATAATTGTGTGTGTTATTGTTCGTTCAAGCTCGAAAGAGAACTGTATTCTGGCACGCGGTCTGTGCATGCGCATTATACTGGCGCGCGTTTTTCTGTGAGTCACATTCATTCAAAACATTCACAGGCAGCCCGCTCTCTTTTGACTTCTTGTCGTGCAAAATGGTTTTAAGGCATTTGCACGAATAAGAGCGGGATAATGTAACACTAGTCAAAGGATGACAAAAAAGAAGAGATGCTGTGTTCATATAAAATCGCGGCATTTTGCGTTATATAATCGCATAGGTTTGACATCGCGATTACGATTGCGATTCGATTAATCGTGCAGCACTACTTTCAATTATAATTTGACGTTGCGTTTTATTCATATCAGATGTACCTTGTGTTTGAAACAGTTTATTCTTCTCCCATGTTCACACTGGCCACACTTATGTATTTTGTGAAAAATGGATGGCATGTTCATTATAACGGTGTTTAAACAACACAACACTCCCTTCCATATTTGACCATCGGAATACATCTGATAATTCATGATAGCCTATAGTTAACAAGTTTGTGAATATTTTAAATAAACAAGAAAATAACGAAATAAACACGATGCGTGTGGCTGCATGACGCATCGGCATGGAAATAATGCGTTCTAAAATAACGGTCGCCTTAAACTCCCGCTGGGGGCTCAGCTAGAATATAGACTGCCGACTTCAGGTATTTCTTCGGTGGAAATAAAGCTTCTTGGGTGCAGTAGTAGCCTCTGTGTCTCTGATAAGCATGGTACTTTAAGCTGGTGCACCACTGGTGTAACTTTGTTTTCGTTTTGTGCAAGTTGCAACAGTTCCGTTCCGTGTAACAGAAACCCACGGTGTAGCAGAGCCTTTACGATTAATTAACCGTGACGTTCTAAATCGCGGTTAATGGTGAAATCGGTTAATCCCTGCATCCCTAGCCTTCACTGATGCTGTCTCCACACCAGACTTCTACCCAACAGTCTATGTGGCATTACGGCACTGAAGTGTGGACTTGGAGAAGGACTGGAGGGATTTAGGGAGTCATTGGAGACAGGGTTTGACATAACGGCTGCAGGAAACACGTGAATTTGACCACCCTAATTTTAGCAAAAGCAGATTTTATTGGGGCACTTGACATGTTATTGCAGGGGTGCCCAATCCTGCTCTTGGAGGGCCAATGTCATGAAGAGTTTAGCTATAACACACCTTCCGTGAAGTTTCTAGTAATCCTGAAGACCTTGATTAACTGGTTCAGGTGTGTTAATTAGGATTAGAAGTAAACTCTGCAGTATAGTGGCCCTCCGGAAGCAGAATTTGACATCGCTGTTTTATCGCAAAATAAGCATGGCAGACAAGTTCTTGAGATTTTGATTTTACCCATTCAAGTAGACTAGAGCTACTTGCATGACTGAGTAGCTTTTTTCAAGATTGCCACCAAGTCAATAGACTTGCTTTAGAAAGGATTTGTCATGTCATCCAAGCTCAACCAAGTTTCAAAACAACTTTGATCTGAATCTAAACCGTGAACTTAGTCTTGAGTACAGCAAAGACACAGAGATTGTTTGTTCATCATAATAAAAGAGAAACGAGAGTGGCTGCACTTAAATACCAGAAAGGGCTGGGCCTCCTCAGAACACGTCCCATTTCTAGGGTGGTGGGAAAGTCAATGCCGAGTGTTGGGTTTCGTGGGAAAATTCTTGACCTCCTACTGAACCCTACTAGCCTCCAGAGGAATCTAGACCCCTTCGTACTGCCCCTCCTATACTCTTTAAAAAAACACTTCAATTGAGTCACTCCATCATATCGCAAGCAGTGTATCCTCCCACATTTCTGATGTTCCAGCCTCAGCATCTGTTCTCACCCTGTTTATCAAATCCATATAAGGTCAAAACTCTGCGGTCTCTTTCCTCTGGTGAGTCTGGGAGCATTTGCTCTGGCCTGGAACTCTCAGAAGGCAGCATCTGTTTGTGATTGCTTGAGCCTGATTGGTGCTCTGCACTCCAGCTGTCTGAACGCATTCAGGTGTTGGTTGACTAGGACTTGAAGAGGCAAAAAACAACATTGGGTGCATGAGTGCGATTAATGCGATAAGGCCCAAGGATCCATAGTCATGCAGGTAATCTAATGAACTGCATAAGAAGCTGAACTGGTCAGGTAGGTAGCACAGTTCCACTCGAATGGCGAACTTTGATCATTAAAAAAAAGGTTTCCAATTCCTGGTCCAAGGTAAGGACAAGAAATCAGACCCCAGAAGCCTCCTTCGTGGCTTCTCTACATCACATTTGGCTGCAAGGCAGCGGAGGATAATGTGGCTGGAGATAAAGGGTTGAAGGTAAGGGAAGTAAGAGAAAAGCAAGACTAATATGTGATGCGATCTGGGAAAATTGGTGAACATGGTGAAATTTGATTACATATGAAAGCTGGTAACAAGCCCTTTCCAAATCGGTTTTCATTTTGTTCATAGATTGTTGGTAGCAAAAGTTATGTTATTCTGAAGTTGGCTGATCGATATGATTTTCAGGGACGGAATTTTGAGAAAAACAGGTTTAATCAACTGTCACCGTCTCGCTAATGGGGCGATTGGCACTCTTTTTTTATTGCCTTTTTTCATCATAAATTAGGTATCATTTGAAAGCTTACAAACTCAAAATTCATCATGTGAGTCCATTATGACATTATTTAGGGCACTGACATCCCCAGGAATTAGCAGATTGACATCTGACGGGTTTTTCCAAATCACATCACATATAGAGTAGGAATGTCACGGTGAGAAAACTTTCAGAGCAGAGCAGACGCTCTCAGTTTATAACTGTAGCACTCCGTTTTCCAACTGAACTATATGTTTTTTTTTTTTTTTAAAGCAAAACGACAATGAGGGCAATACCATGGTGGGCAAGGAATGTAATCGGTGTATGGCCAAACACTGTGTAACACTGACTACTGCAGCAAGCCTAATATATAGACAATGGTAGATTAAGCAAAGACCAGAGGATCAGTATCAGGAGTTAAAGGTCAGCTAAAGAGGCCATACCTGAACAGTCTTCTTGATCCTCTGAGATGGGCCAGGGTAGTCTTTGGAGTACAGGTCTGTCAGAAAGAGGGAATTGATGAGCGTGGATTTGCCCAGTCCAGACTCACCTAGAAAAGAGGCAAACAAAAATTAAGTTGGCATGCTCAACTGGTGCCATGAAATGCACTAATATAAGCAAAAAGTGGGAGAGGGATGAAATGCCACATGCAAGAGACATCCATACTTAAAAACAGGAGGTGATGATTATGAGATTCTTCACAGATCCTCACAAGCTTTCTCACATTCATCCACCCACACAGAAACACACAATTAGTTTGTTGTTTTTGAGCCAACCAATGGCACATGTGGGACCCTGGCCAGAAATTCAATAGTTTCTTCCTGAGGACAGAAATCGAAAGACAGCGGATTCATGGGTATATTGGGAACATGTTGTGGACAAAAAGGAAGAATGAGAGAGGGAGAAAGCTCTTTTATTCTGAAGGAATAAAACAGACTTTCTAGACAATTCCACACTTCTCTTTACAACTGATGAGCATGAGGCGGTGTCATTTTTGAACATCTCTTGAGTTGGGGGAGGGGAGCACTTGGGCTCATCTGGCAGAGCAGAGCAGACCACCAATGCATCTCTGAAGTGTACACCCTCTTCACCCACTCAAATACACATTCTCACTCAACATTTTTGACACAAGCTTGATCCTAGGCTTCAAGGGGGTTGAAAGCTCCTTCTCTCAATAAACAATCTTCCCACTGACAGTCCTCAGCGCCTGAGCTTCCAATTCTTATCTTATTCATTTACCACATGGGAGAGCAAACAGGCCTGAAAATGCCAGTCTCATTGCTGATAATGTAAATTTGTTGCGTTTAAGCTTATGACGTAATGCAATTTAGAAAGTAACAAAATGCTGTTAAATTGGAAAATGAGACCCAGATGACCCAATGCCCTCATGATATCAGTGCCTAACCTTCAACCCTGACCCCCTCATTTGGACCCTCTCCCTCTTGTTGCCAAAGCAGGAGCAGTTGCCAGTGCGTCCTATGGAGCCGAAACATCTGCACAGACACACTTAAAGATTCTCTGTGCTATGCCAGAGATAACACACAGACACCAAACCCACCCTCTGTCTGTTAAGTAAATTTACTCCTCCATGCCCCAGGCTACGTGGACTTACCTAAACAAGACAGAGTGACTGGACTGTGAGAGCATCTATGTGTTTGTGGGGGTGGGGTGGGAGGACATCAGAGACCAGTGGAAGAGAAGTAAAGGGGGAGGAGGAAAGACAGATAAATAGAGACAGAGTGTTGTTTTATCGGTCTGCACTTTCACTGGCATTTTAATGGAAGCCATGTACCAACACACAAGAAAGACCAATGGGAAAAAGCATCTTCTCTTCTGATATTATATGCAGTTAGATATAGCCAAAAACAAAGACAAAAATATATTTTGCAACCATTTAGAATAGATCATAAAACAACTTTTCATAATAATGATATTTTTTTTTACTATTATTATTTTATTTATTTTTTATTTTAATTTTATTTTATTTACTATTATTGTAGTTTACTTTTGATTACATAACCACATAAAATGTTTGTGAAAACATACCAAAAATTCATTACAAATTAAATTGCTCAAACCATTTCCAGAGGTTAGCTTGGTGCTTTGCACTCACACACACTCACACACACACACACAAAGCAGGATGTGTCTATGAAATTATGATGCCACTGCTTTAACGGGTGAGAATGAGTAGATTAGCAAGCGTCTCCAGCTCCAGCTAGCTCTAAAGCCCTGTTTCTCCCTCTCTTTCCCTTTCACCCCCTCAGGGTAAAGCCAGAACCAATTAGCCTCATCCCCTCTTTTAATTAAATATCGGCTCACATGATCTCTGAAAACGAGACACTTCAGTCACAGCAAGGATCCAGGTCTAGTTCACAGTTGGCTGACCTTTATCAGACCCATGGATGAATGGAGTGAACTCGCCTCCCCTTCTCATTTTGGTCCCTCTATCATCTGTCTTTTACTACTACAGCACATGTGCCTCTCCAGCAGGGACAAACAGAGACACTGGAAAAACCATTAAATAGAGGAAAAAGGTATATAGTTGTGCTAATAGACTGGTACAACCACATGCGGATAAATAGACCCTATTTCCACTGGCTTTACATTGAACTAGACCCAGACAGGCTACCAGGGGAACAGACATTTCCGAATTAAAAGCGCATGCTAGCATCACTTCCTGCCCCAGTTAGACACAGTTAGCACTTAGCTTGAAAAAGTGGGGCGAATGGTGTTCCAAAAGCATTTGAATAACCAGTGTTTTGTGCAGTATGCTAATATAGCATGTCCAGCACCATCATAATGTTTTATTTTAATACAGATTTACATATGAAAATGTTTTAATAAAAAGTTGTCATTTTCTACTAATGTGAATACTACTAAAGGCATTCTCAAAAATGTCTTTCATCGATTGAAATAAAATATAATTAGATGAGAAATAACTAATATAACTAAAACTTTAAAAATAAACATTAAATATAAATATTTCGAAAATAAAACTAATAATAAACAAAAGCACATAAAATTACTAAAACTAAAATTATAATTGAATAAATAAATATTAAGAAAAATAAAACAATTCCAATTATGAATAAATACTATAATATAGTATATAAGAAAAATTCTAATGAACACTGGTCAACACTATTACTTTCTTCTGTGGAACATAAAATAAGGTATTTTGAGAAATGTGTTTTTTGTTCATGCAATGGAAGTCAATGGGCTGCAAAGTTGTTTGGTTGCCAACGTTCTTCAAAATATCTTCTTTTGTGTTCAACAGAAAAAAGAAAGTCATACAGGTTTGGAGCGATATAAGCTAATGATGACAGATTTTTTTTGCTAAACCTTTAAAAATGGACTTTTAAAAAATGTATGACGATCCATCAATCAATCATAAATGGCCCTATTCAGATTTAGAGATCGGAATAAAAAAAAGTAAAAAAAAAGTATTTTCTACTTTTTACTACTACCCTAAATGGATGGTTGGATTGGAGGACTAGGACAAATGGACAAACTTTCGAGGAGATTCCACACATTTTTCTTGACTTTCATCTATTTACCTCTTCCTGTCATCATGCTATGGGCCAGAAAGCACCCCAGGGCCCATTACTGGGCTCAGATATCCTGACAATCCCCCACCTCCACCCCTTTTCCACTGCCCTGCCCCCATCTAATCCCAGCTATCCCTTTTCTTCCTCACTCTTTTTCCCTCAAAAAAGGGGCTCTAGTACCACTGCCATAATGTTGCTTAACTCTTTAACAAACAGATAGCTGACAGAGCGAAAGAGAGGCCCACAACCTCAACAGATAAACAGAGAACAATGTGCAAACTATGATCATTTAAACTAATTACAATAAACTAGAGCTTTGGAAAACACTCCAATCAAGTATTTACTACATTTTAAAGTAGTTACTGATTTTAAAGGATGTGAGAATGTAAGTATGATAGTAAGTGTGTGTTTAACTGGTTTGCAGAGAGGGGCTCTTGTAGTGATAAGATCCATTGTCCGGCAACAAAGGTCAGAGTTCATCTCCGAACAGCCTGAGATAACAATCAGCAATGCTCTGTAAAAACTCCCATGGACACACACACACAAAAGTCACTCCAAACAGGAAAATCAATCTGTCCTACATAGAAAATAAGATCTATGAGGTGACACATGTGATGTTACACACTGCATGTGCGCAATCAACATACACACTCTATATCGTGTGTCAAACTCCGCTCCTGGAGGGCCAGCTCCAAAATATCTGCCTTGAAGTTTCCAGAAGACCTTGATTAGCTTGTTCAAGTGTGTTTAATTAGGGTTGGAGCTAAACTCTGCAGGACGGTGGCCCTCTAGGAACTGAGTTTGACACCCCTGCTCTATGGGTACGTCCCTAGTTCAGTAGGCAGGCCACTGAGCAGGGAGTCCACCATTATAAGGGCTGACTCGATTGCAAAACCCTTCCAGTGCACTGGAATGTTCGCTCCCTAAAAAAAAATCCCACAATGCACCGCAAAAAACAGGGAGCATCGATGCTCACTACGCTCCCTTACAGTATGTTACGTCACATTTCTGAAGCAAGGAACAAAACGCACAAGCCAACTCAAACAATGACATGAGATGGAAGATTTGAAAAAACCAAGCTTTTTTTTTTTAACTATGTCAGCAAAAACACACAACACTAGGTAGTGAACACATCTAGTTTTCCATCTACACGGAGAAGGCATTGTTTTTACAGCGCAAATTGAGCTTTGAAGATGCTCTCCCAAGTGGATGAATTTTAAAACACCATATTTGCATTTTTGTGTGGATTGTGAAAAAATATTTGAAAATGAGCAGAATGTGCAGAAACTGTTCTGAACCAGTAATATTACACACACAGCCTTAATAAAAGAGTAAGTAATGCGTCAACTGTTAGAATATAAGTTCTCCAAATGGCATTGTTCTCATTCATATTAGTCTTCACACAAATAAATGGTCCAAACCAGCTTTCCAGGAACCTTTAAAGTTTCAGTGACCTAAAGCACCTTTTCCACCATGTTCTCATTATAGATCTGAAACCTGTGGTTGAAAATGACACAGTTAGTTTAAACACTTCACTTCCCTTGTGACAGAAAAACCGTAAAGCTACATTTCAACGAGTGTACACTACAGATATATATATTCGCTCGGACAATGATTCAAATGACAGTTTTCATCAAATCTAAAGTTGGGTCACAACTAAGCCTGTTTGATTCAACAACATTGTTTTGCAATGATTCAGAATGATTCATAAACATGCTTAAGATAACAGTAACTAAAGGGACCACTGGACAGACTGGGATACAGATTTGGCAGATTTTACAAATGAAAACAAAAAATCTAAATTGAAAAACTAAAATTAAATATATATATATTTTGGCTAAGAAATGAACATGTAACTTTTGCAGTATTATATGTCATAAATTGTGAGTAAATATGGTTAAATTCAATCAAATTAATTCAGAATACTTGTATTCAGCGCATTAAATTAATTAAATGTGAAATTAATAATGTTACAAAAGATTTGGAATTCAAATAAATCCTGTTCTTTTGAGTTTCCACAAAATATTAAGCAGCTAAAACTGTTTTCAACATTGATAATAATAAGAAATGCTTCTTGAGCACCAAATCAGCATATTAGAATGATTTCTGAAGGAAATCCAGCTTTGCCATCAAATTATATATATATACACTCACCGACCACTTTATTAGGTACACCTGTCCAACTGCTCGTTAACACTTAATTTCTAAGCAGCCAATCACATGGCGGCAACTCAGTGCATTTAGGCATGTAGACATGGTCAAGACAATCTCCTGCAGTTCAAACCGAGCATCAGTATGGGGAAGAAAGTTGATTTGAGTGACTTTGAACGTGGCATGATTGTTGGTGCCAGAAGGGCTGGTCTGAGTATTTCAGAAACTGCTAATCTACTGGGATTTTCACGCACAACCATCTCTAGGGTTTACAGAGAATGGTCCGAAAAAGAAAAAACATCCAGTGAGCGGCAGTTCTGTGGGCGGAAATGCCTTGTTGATGCCAGAGGTCAGAGGAGAATGGCCAGACTGGTTCGAGCTGATAGAAGGGCAACAGTGACTGAAATAACCACTCGTTACAACCGAGGTATGCAGCAAAGCATTTGTGAAGCCACAACACGCACAACCTTGAGGCGGATGGGCTACAACAGCAGAAGACTCCACCGGGTACCACTCATCTCCACTACAAATAGGAAAAAGAGGCTACAATTTGCAAGAGCTCACCAAAATTGAACAGTTGAAGACTGGAAAAATGTTGCCTGGTCTGATGAGTCTCGATTTCTGTTGAGACATTCAGATGTTAGAGTCAGAATTTGGCGTAAACAGAATGAGAACATGGAACCATCATGCCTTGTTACCACTGTGCAGGCTGGTGGTGGTGGTGTAATGGTGTGGGGGATGTTTTCCTGGCACACTTTAGGCCCCTTAGTGCCAATTGGGCATCGTTTAAATGCCACGGCCTACCTGAGCATTGTTTCTGACCATGTCCATCCCTTTATGGCCACCATGTACCCATCCTCTGATGGCTACTTCCACCATGTCACAAAGCTCTAATCATTTCAAATTGGTTTCTTGAACATGACAATGAGTTCACTGTACTAAAATGGCCTCCACAGTCACCAGATCTCAACCCAATAGAGCATCTTTGGGATGTGGTGGAACGGGAGATTCGCATCATGGATGTGCAGCCGACAAATCTGCGGCAACTGTGTGATGCCATCATGTCAATATGGACCAAACTCCCTGAGGAATGCTTCCAGCACCTTGTTGAATCTATGCCACGAAGAATTGAGGCAGTTCTGAAGGCAAAAGGGGGTCCAACCCGTTACTAGCATGGGGTACCTAATAAAGTGGCCGGTGAGTGTAGATATATTTAATACTCATAATAATGAGCAAAGAGGACTGCACGGGAAATAGAACAGCAAAATCTTAATCACTTATATCTTTTATACTGCCAAGCCCAAATCTCTGATTGTTTGTTACTTAAACCCATCTAAACAAAAATCTGTCCAACACAATGAAACTCATCAATGGCTTCTGTAGAGAGGGAAGATCGGCGTAATGGTATAGCTTTTGAGAGTTAAGAACAAGTCTGATGAAAAAAGAACAAACTTAAAATATTCCCATATTTGACTTGAATGAAACTTTAAAAGAAAGTTTGTTTGAAAACCCAAAGATTTGCCGGTGTTTATTTGGGCATTTGCGGATGCATTAGCATGTGTTGGCTAAGATCGTCTGAAAGGCTTAGCTCCATGACCAGGTTGTTAGATGACCTGTTGGCAGGCCAGAGAGGGGAAGCTTTGGCTTCATAATCCAGGGATTAAATATCCTCCATGTGTGTGTCCGTGTTTCAGCCAGAGACCTTTTAAACGGACCTACAGCATAGTAATGTACGAGAAAAGTAGCAGCTCCTAGCGGTAGCTATGCTAACGCAGCCACATTAGAATGAATATGAATGACATGGAATTCAATAACATGTCATGCCTGAAGACTTCAGCTACCGATTGGAAAAATCATCACTTTAAAACATCTCAAGTTTTGTCCAAACACAGCTGTCGGAGTTGTTGTTGTTGTAGTAAAGGAATGCAAATTGCGTAATTAACGAAAACATGTGTGAAACTGTTACTATTTTTTTCTATTCGTTGCTTGTACAGGTGTGAATTCTCTTACACAGCTTGAAAATCGGCTATTAAAATAGACTTTGTACAAAGAAAACCATATTTTAAACAAGACTAGAAACTGCAAGGCCTGCTTTGCCACCTCCAACAAGCCTTAGATAACTCAATTTGAAAAACGAACCTCGACAACTCTTCACATTTTCCAACGCTTTCTCCCTGAAGAAACATTTTGCCAGCTGGTGTGAGAGGGAAAGCTCAAGAAAGGAAATGCTTGTGGAAAAAAAACACAAGGGAGAGAGCGAGAGAAAAGACAGGAAACAGATTTTTTCCTCCCTGAAATTTTGGAGGGAAAATTGGAGTCCACAGCCAAAGCCCTGTAGAGTCTGTCAGGATGAGTGACAAGAGAACAAGACGACAGTTTTGTTCTTTAAAAGGCCATTGGACGTGCCCAAGGACAGTATTAAGAAAACCCAGCAAGCCCCTATTACATGTATTAGACACTGACTACATTACAGCAAATTTCAGCCCAGTCTGAGGAAGATGTATGATGTTATGGAGAGAATCTGTGGAGGTGGAATCTTGCTTCTGAGGGCAAATGTGGCGGGAGTGCATTTTACTATTAGTGAAAGCAAAACACTGTTAACAGAAAGACAAATATTAATACTTACTAGATTTGCAGTGCTATTATTTAGTGTAAAATACACTACCATTCAAATGTTTTGAGTCAGTAACCTTTTTATTTTAAGTAAATTAATACTTTTATTCAGCAAGGATGAATCAAATCAAGCGACAGTAAAGACATTTACATGTTACAAAAGATTTACATTTCAAATAAATGCTGTATCTGTCCATAAATGCTGAACTTTCTATTCATCAAAGAATTCTGAAAAACAAAATGCATTACATTTTCCATAGAAATATTAAGACGCACAACTGTTTTTAGACATTGATAATAATAATAAATGTTTCTTGAGCAGCAAATCAGCCTATTAGAATGATTTCTGAAGGATCATGTGATCATACTGGAAATCCAGCTTTGCCATTATAGGAATAAATTAAATATATTAAAATAGAAAAGCAATAAATGCAGCCTTGGTTAGATTAATTTTAAAAACGTTTAAAAATTTTACTGACCACAAACTTTTCAATAGTACTGTATACAGTATGTGAAATATATGACCAATCAGTATCAGTGCTGCAAATATGTAAAATATAAGACTAAAACCTATTCAGTGTGCAAATATATGTAAATATAAAGACCAATTGGAATTCCATATGCAAATATTGTTGGTCACCGAATTCTGAATATTCTATACATTTTCAAACTGTAATCTTAAATTAAATTTCTTAAAGCAAAACCCAATGTATAGCCCAACGGACTCAAATTGTCTACAGAAGAGTTTGAATAAAAGTTTAATACTATACAGTAGGTGAGGTCACATTTACCGCGCTGCTCGGCAATATTTCATGGACAATTTGGTTTCAATTGGAACCCACATGTTCGGGAGCTTCGCGTAAGGGTGGAGGACTAGTGCGTATTGTCTCCTGATACCAGTACAAGCATCTCAATAGGCCGGTTTACCAAACAGGAAACCCCAAACTAGCCAACAAACAGACGTAGGGAATGAGTGAGAAACAAAGACACAGAATGAGTAACAACTTGGAAGAGGAATAGAGGAAGAGAGAACTAAAGAGATTATTTTGCACCAGATCTGGGAAGCAAACCCTCTGCAAGCGCTAACAGACACACACACACCCGGTTACTATGGTGAGGCGCTCCACCACAGTTATGTCACCGAGATCCATATTTCCAATATAGCTTTAGTCACAGCATCCAAACCACAGAGAGAGCTTGTGATAATGTATTGATCATCCAAAAACTCATCATCTATCTACTCTTTATGTGGGAATAAAGTCATTCTTTATTATCCAAAACCACAGATTATTCGCTTCAAGTAAAAAAAACACAAAAAAAACAGAAAGCTTATTTTATGTCATTCTACAAAGCAAGTGCCATTTGTGGTTCTCATATTTATATATATATATATATATATATATATATATATATATATATACTGTATGTATGTGTACACACCCATTTATGTATGCATTTATATACATATATATATATATATATATATATATATATATAAAAAATACATGATCATAATTTCAAGACATGAATGTGAAAGAACTTAAACATGAACTTAAAACCTCATCTTTTTTGTTTTAATCTTTTGATGTCAGTAGTATTTTCAAATGACAACCCTGTCACCATGATTATATAGTAAATAATAGATAAATTCTATAAAACTTCAGCGGTCATTTTCTCAGAAATATACATTAGACTCATTTTACAACCTTATACACAAGACGTGCAATGTCAAATTTAACTAAGCCTGTGTCAACCCTGTTAATGTTTCCTGAAAGACCGTTTCCTGAACATTTCCTAAATGTTTCCTGAAGGCATAATTACAGTAAACAATATTAATATAGCTGGAAATGGCACGGTGTTTTGGAGTCCCGCACATAACATGGATATCACATGGACACAAAAAAATATATCGTGGTCATATTCGTTCACTCGTTTTAGTTAAATCGAGGCCATGTCCAGATTCATTCCCTTGCATTGATTTAACTGAAGCAAGGGAATTAGTAAGTATTAGTTCATGGGAACGAATTGTTAATTTGTGGACATATTTGTTTCCCACATGTCCTGTGCGGGGCTCGATACGATGCAATTGATTAACACCCTTTTTATCCGATATAATGTCTAAAATCGTACAAAAATATACTTAACCAAAAAAAAAAAAAAAAAAAAAAAAACTTCATCAAACTGGAACTGAATGCAATCTCAGAGGTGAGCAAAAGAAATTTGCGACTTACCGACAACCATGAGTGTGAACTCAAACCCCCTCTTCACGGACTTCCTGTACACCTGGTTGGGGAGGTTGGCGAAGCCGACATAACCCTCCAGATTCCTCTGCTGGAAGAAAACACAGCTTTACTCCACATTCCACTGATTAAAGAGCAGAACGGCTCCTCCATTACTCTTATCCCTCTCAAAACAGAGCTCAAGAAGACTTCAGAGGAAAGATATTAAAGGCTATGCTAATATTAACATTAGTTACAGTGGATAATGCCTTAGCACAGTCAAACTCTTAAACTAACATGCAGGGATACCACAACAAAGGATAACATGGAGTTTTGCTAATTTGAGGATGAGTAACAGATCTGCGTTAAGCACTTATGAAAGTAACTTCAAAACTGCTTGCCTAAACACAACTTTTGGAAACCAAGAGGCTGGGGAAGGGGAGGACACATGGGATCTCGTGACAAATGCTCATTTACGTTTCGTATCAAATCCATCATGAACTCAATGTCGTCATGGAGGCAGTGTATTTCGCTCCAGATCACAGCCAGCGCCTTGTCCAGATGCAAGTTCTCCTTCACAAGCTTCTCCATCCCTTTCTCTCCGTCGCTTTCCTTCTCTGGTAATCTCATGCTCTCGGAAGCACAGCGCTGAAGCACACGCTAGGCGAGGCAAACACAATTGATCGCTCTGCTTTGGCTCCGCTGAGCTTCTCATGCATGGTAGGCCAATGGAAAACTAACTAGTAGGGGCCATGCTGGTCATTTAGAGAGAGGCAGATAGTTTGAACGGGGAGGGCTACGATCACTAGGGAGAGTTAACTCTTTTTGACCTGGATGAATGACCATGGCCACAAATGTATTAATCAGAACTAAGCCAATAGACTATTTGGGAAACAGTGCATGCTATGGTTCATGTAAAAATGAAAATGTATCTTTTTTCATCATTCTTGAAAGAAAGAACATCATTAGGGATGCATGTTACGTCAGTACCATATTGGTCATTGGCCGGTACTGTTATTTTCCCTTTTTTTTAACATTTAGATTAACTGTGTCATCACTTGATGGTCAACCATTAAAAACACTAACAATTTAATAACACTGTTAAATACAATATTCATCAAAATGTACTTGTAGCATTTAAAAGGATTGATTTTAGATTTTCATTTAAACAAAATATATTAAATGATTAAGAGTAGGTTGGCCAATGGCCGATATAAGGCTGATAAATATGACACTATTTAATATTACACTATATTACACTATTTAATTTACAAAAACAAATTTATTTTACATATTTTCTAATGAATTGTAAAATGAATTAATATAAAAAGAAAATTTATAAAATAAACAGATTTGTTTTAGCAACATCTTGTATCTCTAATCCTATTATAATATTTTTCACAAATTAAGAGATAGTTTAAAAACATGAATAAAAAGGAAGTAAACACAGTATCCAACCACTCAGTAAACTGGTAAAATTGTGCACACTGGGAATCATATTTTCTCACATAAAGAAAAGGTAACAGTTATTTTATACAGTACACAGTGAATATGACATGAATATGACTGCGGCAAACTGGATATTGCACAGCATAGTTTGAAATCAAGGGCTGCGTTGGAAATCGCATACACTTGAGTAGGTACAAAATAGGTAGCACTATTTTGAATAAGTATTTACTTCGCGACCGCTAAAAAAGTATGTTCTATATAGTATGAATGTGTGTAGTTTGAATGTAATCTGGACGTATCATGCATCGCTTCACTGCCATTCATAAATCCTCTCCCGTGGCCTCATAGGATAGTAAAGTGTCCTTCGTATATACACTTCAGAATCTCGCCCGAAGTAGTAGATCATCCGGGTAATTTTTGCCTACTCTTTTATGAGTACTGTGTAATCGGACATACTACTTTTTGTCACATACTGTTTTTCACATACTGTTTTATGTGATTTTAGATGCAGTCTTAGATTTTAAAGATTTAGCTCACATCGGCGTTCAGGTGATGGCGTTCTTAGAGCTGTCAAAATAAGAGTCCTGTCAATGTCAAAATAAAAGCTGCTTCTGATACTTTACAGCCAAACAGAAAAACGTATACCAAGTCGATGTCGATAATTTAAAAATGCAAAATAACTATTATATTTTTACATAATTCAATAATAGAAAAATTATAATAGCAATTTAGAGGTTATCAGCCATAACATAATTAATAATCAAATATGCATCAGTAAATAATCATCAACCATAATTTTAATATGGGTTTAAAATCATACAGTTTTGGAACGAGATGCATAAATAAATGATGACAGATTTGTTTTGTGTGAACTATCCCTTTAAAATAACAATATATCAAAATGGATTTGATACGAAACCTCTGTCAGTTTTTGGACACTTGCATCCCAAAACGTGACTGCATCTTCTTCAAATATATACTAGGCCTATATAATTCATACACCAGTCTATAAATAGCCATGCTCTGTGAACAGCTCAGGGCATTTTCCATGCTTTCGCTCTTGAAGCGCTCTTACGTAACTGTAAGATTGATGTCATGCCCCAACATGGCAAACAACACAACATCTGACCAGAAGAGTGAATCAAATCATTGATTATTGAACCCTTATCCATGTTACTATCCACATTAGGTTGAAGGATGCATTTCATTATTGAACCTCTATCCATGTTAGTATCCACATTAGATTGAAGGATGCATATAATTATTGAACCTCTATCCATGTTAGTATCCACATTAGACTGAAGGATGCATATAGCGTAGGTGGGAAAAACGTGTGGGTGTTCACAAGCTTAATATTCAGAATAGGTTTAACATTTGTGCAATTCATTCATCCTTTGAAGGATGTATAACATGATATGAGGACCCTAAATATAGTGGGCCCAAAAAGCACTTGGAGTATTAAAATGTAGAAACGTCAAAGCACTAGATAACAAAATACCGCAAAAATATCACCTGGCATCTGCAAACAAATGATGCTAGGCCTTTTCATGTAACTAACTTCACTTTCCTGAGCACTTATTTTTAGACAAATGGTCCCATGTTGATTTTAAGTAGATTTATGAAGTCAGTTTCCTTCAAGTTCACACAAAAAGGATCATGATATATGCTCAGTGACAGTTTTTGGCTGCTCTTCTCTCCATCCAAGCCTATTGAAATGCATCTCACTGCTCTCCACAAGAGAGCTGGGCATCCCACTTAGAGCCTGTCATTCTCATTTGCTTCTCCAAACAGCTATTAACACACAGCAGCCCTACTATTTACTCTATAAAAAACACATTTGTATGTATTTGGAATCACGATAAATGAACAATGGTAATCAACATATTCAAAGTATTATTACATGTGTGTATGGTCTGACACAACAGCAATTTAGGTTCACTTTTAAAATTGGTGATTCACAACTTCACAAACGCTTAGAGCATGTTATGACAAAACGGAAATTGGTTTTTGACCTCATGTTTAATGATGTTATAAGATATTGTACCATGTACTTAAAATGTAGATTCTGAAGAGTTTGTTTCTTAGTTCTTGCATGGTTTGGATGAAAGTACAATGTTTTTTTGCATGAGCTAAAGCGCATGTGTCAATAACACACAAGAACCAGTGAGCTTTTGATCAAGGAAACCCAGATTGGTAAGCTATTTTAACATTTAGCTCTAAAACAAATAGCATATGGTTTTTTTTTTTTTACATTAATAGTAGGCTACTTATTTTTAATGACTTAAAAGTAATCTAATAGTTACTACAATTGTTTTCATAAATTAGTACTAGATATAATATTATTATTTCTTTACCTTATAAAATATTTGCCATTAAATTCTATGGGGATCTGTGGTAAATATATCAGCTATTCGTGATATATTTCGGCTATATAGCTATTCGCTGTGAACAATCGCATTTTTTACTAGTAGCCTACTAATTGTTGATACATTAACCAAAAATCACCAGAGATATGTTACTTGTAACAAAGAAATCATTTGTCACTATTTGTATAGTGATAAACAGTAAATGAATAAAATGTTAGACTGAATGATAGATTACTAGTTACTAATTGAATACTGGATAACATAACATTGGCAAATGTATGAGTGTCCATTGAATTGGTCAAATTAATTGTATCAAAAATAGATGCTAGTTGGTATTAATTAAGTAGCCTAATGTGAATACGGCTTGCCACAACAGACAGATGATTAAGGGACAGTCACACTAGGAATCAATTGCATGTCCATTAATCAATGAAACAGATGTGGTTTAAAATGTATTTTCTGGACAGATTTAGATAAATGTATGAATATTGTACTCACTGCAACGCTGGAAACAGCTGAGTCGGGTCTCTCGATCATCGTCCTGTGACAACACCCACTCTGAATCCCAATAGATCAGGCATAAAAAGATGAGTCGCCTCAGAAAGTGTCGAGTGCAGAAGCGATGATGAACCCTTACGGCTGCTTCTGAATTGGACTATATAAATGGCTTTTTATGGGAGGTAAACGTGCACAGAACAAAAACAAGCATGCGAGCATCGGCCGGGGGAAAAATGTTACAATGCTGCGAGTATGAAAGGCGATTGTCCTCCTCCTAGATAATTCAACCCGTATTGGTCAGCGACTGGCCGCTTGTAGTGATGTCATAGAATTCCGCCCACTCCCGCATTTCATTGGCTCACTGGACTTTACAATGAATTGTGGTATTTGTAGTGGCAGGCACGTGATCGCAGGAAAAAAATGCGGCAGATGCATGCGCAATACTTCAAAACAAATTAAAATATTTTAAAAACAAATTATGTCTGCATCGAGATATCAGACAGGAAAAGAAAAAATGGGAAATACTTTTAATTTTCAACAGACACGGGAGAGCATATTATGAGGCGTTTATGATCTGTAATGATGTGCATGTGCCCTCTAGTGAAATATGTTAATAGCCTAGTAGTTGTGATGTATCCTGATTAATAATATTATTGATTATAGGATATACTATTGCCTTGAGAAAATAAATGTTAAAATGTTTGATAACATTTTGCCCATAAAATAGACCTTATAAAATTAAACAAATTAATTTCATGATGTTTTTAGGAAGTTTACTGAGAGACAACATCCAGAGGTGGAAAAAGCACAAAACTTCCTTACTTGAGTGAAAGTACAGAGACAACTGGTCAGATATTACTTCATTACAGGTAAAAATTGTAAAGACCGAATTTTACTTAAGTAAAAGTACAGAAGTAGCCTACTTGTTTTTAAAAGTATCAAAAGTAAAAAGTAAGTGTCAATGCATTGTTTTATTATTGTTGCATTGTTGTATGTAATACTTACAGTACCTTATGCCTCTGAATGTTCTATTTCTAGAACACAGTTCCAGTAGTGGGATTGAATGTGAGATTGAATAAGTGCACTCAATAACGTCCACAATGGTTTCGGACACCCAAATGGCTGTTCCCTCAAATAATGCCCTATTTAAAGCTTTTTGGCTTTTATGAATATGTTAGCCTTACTGTTATCTATAAGCTTGTGTGCTCCAAAACAATGACAAAATTCGCATTTAGACCAAACCAAAGAAAAAGAAATGAAAATTAGGTTGATGTCAAATCCAATGCCAGATTTATACGTTAATCTCCAACGTTGGACAGATGTTGTATTGAAAATCAAAATTATTTTTTTGAATTAAAATATTTTAGGTAAATATTAGTTATAACTGCAACTTGACAGAATCTAATAAAACTGTGTTGAACTGTTAAGTAGGCCTAAATAATATAGTAAAATGTAGGTACTGCAATGGAAAATAAAACAAATGAAATCTTAAATGATAAACACTATCAGCAATATTCTTTAATTTAACATTAGTAGTAATAATAATACTGCTCATATAAAGTTTACTTTGGACTAGTAAGGTTTATTATTGACAAATAATGAGATCAACACATTTGAATAACATTCATTACAATAACACTCTGAAATGTTACAATATCATTTATTTTACATTTCTCTCACAGTTATGTTTAGTTGGTTTCAGTTTTCATGGACTTTAAGATAGTTTTCATTAGTCACATGTGTTCCTTTAGATTCCCGCCACTCTGTAGTTTCTATGGTTACTGTGATTAGTTAGTTTGGTTCAGCTGTGTTCACCTCATTATGTTTAATATATAACTTCATGTGTGTCCCCTTTGATTTTTTCCGGTCACGTTAACAGTTCTGTTTGTGACTTTGTGCTGGAAATGTATTCATCTGTCCGCCTCCTTACATGCGTTGCAATTTCTTACAAGTTTTATTTAGTAGGTTTTGAAGCAATTCTCTTGTCTATGTGGTTTATGTACAGCTGGACCCACTCATTATCAGGTTTCACACAAAACCTGCAGCACATGAGAGACAAAAACGTTAAAACAACATGAATGCGTAAATAGTAAACGTTAGCAATGCTAAACCTATTGAGAGGATACTCACACAATGTGTCTGAGGGGGCAACTGTTACTTGTCCAGTAATAAGACTTCAGCAGTCTCAGAGGTATTCATCACTCTGTCTCCTCTCCACCAGTAAGCTGGTGTGTGGTGGGCGTTCTGGCGCAGTATGGCTGCCGTCACATCATCCAGGTGGATGCTGCACATTGGTGGTGGTTGAGGAGATCCCCCCCTTCTATGTAAAGCGCTTTGAGTGCCATGAAAAGCGCAATATAAATGTAATGAATTATTATTATTAATTATTATTATTCTGGAATGGGTTTCTTCAAAGCAGCAGATTGTGGACTTAAAATTTTTTTGATGAGTTCAATATAGCAAAAATGTGATTCAACACGTTTTTAGACATTATGTTTGTATTCTTCAGGTTTTGTAGATATTGAGTAAAGAAGAGTTAATTTACAATATTTTCAGAAAGAGATAAAGAACTTAAAACCGTTTTAGAATGTTTAAATGAAAAATGTCCTCTGGACAATACAACCATAAGAGCGTGGGTGGACAGGTGGAGGTTTGGGTTGTGCATCTCTCTTTGGGAGAGTGGAAGGAAGCGTTGCTGGGATGATCATGGATTTGGAGGGTTGATATGTTGAGGTGGGCAGGAGATTGGTGGAGTGAGATGTTGGGATGGTATTTGGGAGCTGGGTAGGGCGCAGTGAAGGTGGGTCAGGGTGTGGGGGGGTATTGTGGTGAGCGTTGCTTCTGTTGTCACTCCACCTCTGTTAATGTGGAGATATGACAAAAATATGTTTAGCAAAAAAAAACAAGAGTGGTTTAGAAGTATAAACAGCATAATTGTGGCTACATTATGTTGCATTTTCAGTGTCGAAGCTCACATTTTTCTCTATCTCTTTATTTGTTTTCACACAAAATTGACTTCCAGGGGTTGCAACCCTGAGGGGGAAAAAAATCATATTTGAAATGTTTGTTTAAAGTGCTGCCATAATATACAGGTTAAAAATTATGGGTTATACTTTATTTTAAGGTGTCCTTGTTACAGTTTAACTATACATTAAAGTACTAAGTTTTACTATCAGTGCTAGTTTGGTTTAAGGTTAGTTGCACATAATTATGCATCATTTACTACAGTAAGTACAGTATATGTAACAAGGGCACAGTAAAACAAAGTGTTACCAAATGATGTTACATGGAATTAGAAATTAAATATGAAGGTAAATTAGTAGCAAAGCTCGAGAGCACATAGATGTGAATTTGAGAACTTGTACAATAAATATTCGTACGTGTATGTGAACATTTACACTCACAGCTGCAATGTGAAAACCTGTAATATAAAAATCTGAACTTGAACGCTGAGATTTGCACTCGCAGACAATAGTCACAAACCTGTATTCTGAATTTGAAGCTGCAGACAAGTAGTCACAAATGTGTAAAACTTTGGACTAGTAAGGTTTATTATTGACAAATAATGAGAATATAGGGCCCAAATGTGTAAAAATTGTACAAGTTCTCAAATTCACATCTACCTGCTCTCAGGTCTCCTTCATATTAGCATCATGCAGAGCACAGCACAGCACAGTATCAGAAACATTATTAGTCTTCGTGAAGGTCTTCATTCTCCAGGTTTTTTGTTTTGTTTTTTTCAGCTTGCTTTTCATTGCTATCTTCATGCATCTCATTCTTTTTGTACACTGACTTCTGTTGTGTAGCCTCCCATCTTATGATCGCTCAATGGCACCATCTATTGGCTCACCTATATCGTAACACAGGTATGATACACCTCAACAGAAGAATTTGTGGTGAATTGCCAGCAGAAATAGAGATGGTGAATTAGATTTTGAGAAGAACCCCCTTGTTGATTCTCTGGACCAGTAACACAATATTTTCTTTAACAACAACTTGTCTCTGAATCCTCTTCCTCTTAATTTGGTATTGTTACAAACTAAAATTCTTAAGGGTTGCTCAGTGCATTTCACACAGGAAATAGCATATTTCTGTCTTCTTCATAGGCGCCTTAAAATTGGCCTAGTGCTCTGCTGGCGAACCAGACTACTGTTCATTCCTTAGCGTCTGTTTGGATCATGAAAGTGAAAATACATGCTCTTGGAATTCCTTTTATCTTTACCGAAACATTTGGCAACTCTATGAGAAACACTTTGGCTTGTGTGAAGTTATTTTCAGAACTGTGCGGGTATTTACATTAAAAACCAGAAGGCAGTCTTTTACCCTTGACATAATATTATTTATGTTATCTAAAGCTCAGGAGCTGCTGAAAAAGGGTACGGGGTGGAGTAAACATTTTTCAGTTAGAAAATTAAAATGATGTCTATTTTGTATTCTCTCAAAAGTTTAGGGAAGCCATAGTTTCTCTCATAAATGTAGCAGGTCGTCTGCGCCTGTGGTTGCACTGTGTTAACTTTTGTGAATATGCAGCCAATGCGAATGTGTTTCTATATCAGTGTGTGTCCTCGCAGCACCTCAGACTAAGACTTCAGCCAAGTTAACAGGTGCAATTCAAAATAGAGTATACTAGTATATGGAGCATGGTGAATGTGATTTCACCAAATAGAACTTGTTACTCGATCAACATTCCAATCAACAAATCAGATTTGAGGGATTGGTTTACAGTTAAGTTTAGGCTTACAACCAGGGTTAGGGGCTTCTACGCCATTCTTATTCACCTATTTCATTTCCCTCTGTTTTTACGGATAAGTTATGGATAGAGTTAGATTTAGGGAAAAGGCTAGGACTGTTTTTGGGGGGAGTGAGTCCAGGGAGTTAATTTAGCCTCCAAACATTATGCAAATTTCATACATAAATATAGCGGGATTTTCTCCGATTTATATGTCCCCAACTAGGATTCCCCCAGTGAATCTCGGCCATTTCCACCTCTGTATACAGTATATATAGAGGTCTGGTGAAATGATCTGTAGATTAATGATAAAAGCCTACATGTGCCCTCTAGTGAAATATTCCAATAGTTGTAATGTGTCCTATTCATAATAATTATAGGGTATTTTAAATATTTTAAGTTACAGTTAAAATGTTTGATGAACTTTTGTTCATAAAATAGCAAAGTGTAAAAATTTTATATTTGCAGTTGCTTTTAGGGGGTTTTCTTGGAGACGACACTGGCATTAATGGAAAAAAAAACATAAATGAAAGACTTTTTGAAATTAAAATAAATGTTTTTTTTTTTATAAAAAAATATTTGAAGTAAATATTAGTTACACTAACCTACAAAATCTAATAAAACTGTCAAGTTACCTAAACTGTTAAGTAATGGTAAATACAAAGGCAGACACTTAAGTAATGGACAATAAAACAAAGGAAATCTTAACATTTGACAACTTTATGTGGAATAGCTTTATTAACATTAGTAATTAAAATACAGATAATTTAAAGTTAATATCAGTATGTTATTTGTTCCCAGTCTATTATTGACATAAATAATGAGATCAACACATTTGAATAATATTCAATACAATAATAATACTCTATATTGCTTGTTATGTTACAATACAATATTGCTGTTTTATTTTTTTTACAATTTCACTCATATACAGGTGTGTGTGTGTGTGTGTGTGTGTGTAGATGTAGCTTCAAGTTTTATTTTGGTGAATCTGAAGCACTTTTCTTGTCTATGTGGTTTATGTACAGCTGGACCCACTCATTATCAGGTTTCACACAGCGATGTATCTTCTTAGTTGTTACGAACCTACAGCAGATTAGAGATGAAAAGATTAAATCAGCATGAATGTGAGTAAATACTAAATGTTAGCAATAGGTGTAGTCTACAGCTAAACCTGAGAGGATACTCACACAATGTGTCTGAGGGGGCAACTCTCTTTACTTGTCCAGTAATAAGACTTCAGCAGTCTCAGAGGTATTCTGGAACGGGTTTCTTCAAAGCAGCAGATACTGTTTGCAGACTCAACTGCATGAGGACCTGAAAAAGTGAATGATTCACCAGTAAAATGTGATTCAACACGTTTTTTAAGCAGTATGTTTTTTAAAATACACTACTCTCAGAAATAACTAAAAAACTGTTTAATATAGTTTAAATTGGTTTCCTCTGGAAAAGTTTTAATCTAGAGCCTGAAACGCTTTACAAATGAAAGAGAAAAAAGATGTCAGAAGCAGACACTCACCAGCAGCTGAGGTAAGTTGCACAGCACAACACAGCAGCAGAAGCAGTAACGAAATCTTCAGGACGATCATCATTCTCAAGGTTTGATAAACCACATGAGAGAGTGAGAGTATGTGATGAACTTCTAGCACTCCATTATATAGAGACCGTGAATTAGTTTTTTCTGTGTTGAAAGAAATCCCCTATGTTGATTCTAGTGACGCAGCCTTTTCTAAGTACAACACTGTCTCTGAACCCTCTTCCTCTTTACTTTGTTATATGTGCTACAGTGCTAATAATACATATGAGTCACTACAACTTCACGTAAATGCCCTACTTAAATTCAAATGACCTCCCACAGGCTCCTTAAAATAACTGTGCGACTGAGATACCACGTGCAGCAGTGGGGGGGGGGGGGGTCTCAAGCCCCTGCCCCTTTTGTCACAAAATGTATTGTGCCCTTTTCTGATCATTGTAAATAATAATAATTATTATTAAAAATATTATAATAAATAACAATACACTTACACACCCTTGCCACTAACAATAATAATACAAACAAATATTATATAAAAAGAAAAATTGGCAGAGAAGTGGTAGGCGGAGTTTCCATAGACAGTATAAGAAATGGACAGAGCCATCTCATTGGAACTCAGTTGAGACAGTTGAAGCCCATTTTTAGCGATTTCTGAGCACTTCCGTTCCTGACGCGCAGACTCAAACCGACTCAAACTAAGCTTGATGACGTGAGCAACCTGTCTGACAGACGTTACTCTTCTAGTAGCTGTGCGTGAAAATTGCCAACGTTAATCTTGCAGAGACGGGGAACTTGAGCAAAGAGTTCTTTGGCGTGAGTGAGCAGGAGTAAGTATTCCCTTGCTTTTATGGACTCATTATCTATGGGCTTCTCCCTTGACGGGACGTCCCCCCGATCGCCTGCGAGCTTCTCCTCCTGTCTGTACGGTAATTTCTGTACAGCGCGACAGAGAGTCGAGTGGTTATGACGCAATCGTTAGCCTATTTTTACTAAAACTGTTTCTACGGGGCCATAATGTAACATAGAAGGTAATGGAGCACTTTATACATTGTCGTGTTTCTTTAGAAATAAATAATGGACAAATGGAGTCTTTAAACGCCTCAGATGTAAAGTTATTCGCTGTCAAAGTGACGCCAAAATGAATGGGAGTCAATGGAAATGCTAACGCAAGTGAAGTTCTGCTACAACATGGCGGCACCCGGCCGGCTTCAACTTCCGGTCGATGGATTACCCCCTTGGGAGTTTCCTTTGCAGCGCCTCGTAGGGCCTACGCATTTAACGGTTCTTCTGGTACGCACTTACGCAGCAGTTCGCGCGAGTCTTCAAACGAGCAGCAGGTAACGTTAAAGCTAATACGGAAAATTACATTTATCCTACGATCACCATGCTACTCTAAAAGTTGCGGCAGCAAGCGAGTTATTCTTAACTATAATAAAAGTATAACTCGATTTCAGACGCATTCTGAGTGACAATGTTTTTCGTTTTTATCCAAGGAATAAAAGTGCAAGGGGAAATACATCTAGTTAAAGGGGCATTATGCAGAAATCCCGTTTTTGTCAAACAGCGACCCCTAGAGTTACTGTGGAGTACTTGAATTTAACGTTACTGTCGTAAATACCACTCACTCAGAGCGTGACATGGCCTGTTACATAGTATACAATAGTACATTGTGTTTAATTTGTCGTTTAATGAGTTATACTATATGTTGTTAGTGGTGAGAATTTTCACGTGATTAAATACATAGATCCGACAATTTTAATGGTCCAGAGGCAGAACTTTTGCCAAGTGTGTCAGAGGTTCTGGGTTCTAATCGGTACTAGTAGTACAGTTTATTTTCCTCATCAAAACCGATTGCTTATTAGTGGTTGTATTTCAAGCAGGGACATGTTTTTTGTGCATTAGGTTTTGTGATTTCACCATAACAAAATATAGAGAGTCTCTCAGTCCCCGCAACGGATTCAGGCGCGCGTCACAACAGAACACTGTAACTTATCTGCACCACTGATCGCAGAGGCAACAAGCACTTTGGTCACTTGATTTCAAAAATAACACATTTCAGATCGCCTCTTATTTAACAAACGAACGAAATGAATGCTCTACTAGAGTTACCTGGAGATGTTTTATTTGTTTGTAATGGTAACGTTACATCCGTGCCGTGAGAAGTTTCAATGGGGACATAACACACCCGCAAATTATGCCTATGCTCGTGTCCGACTCCTCGCTCGGTCAGTCTGCCGTTTCCTCTTTCTCTGTTCCTCCGACAATGCTTTCTGCATCTTATATGCCGGCTCAGCCATGACGATAGTGTGACAAACTCCATCCATCTATACCTTGTTCCTGTGTGTATGTGTGCAGTTGCAGTAAAGGAATATGTTACATCGCGAGAGCTGATATCACGCGATACTTCCTGACGCGGCCCGCCGCACCGAAGTTGCAAGTGGGATTTTTTCGCTCACAGGCACCAGGGGGGGTCGAGACGCCCACCATTCAACCCGAAAGAAGTTATATAACCATTTCAATAACTCTGAAGCTGTTCAGTTAAGCTAAAAAAGCTGCATAGTGTCCCTTTAAATGAAATCTTAAGTCAATGTCCAACTCTAAATTGTAAGGAACTTATATCTTTGATTTCATAGTAACGCTTTACAATAATGTTCATTTGTTCATTACTCATGTATGAACTAGCATGAACTAACCATGAGCAACACATTTGTTAGGCCTACTGTATATCTTAGTTAATACAACTGTTAATTGTTTATTCATGTTATGTCACAGTCAGTGCATTAACTAATGATAACAAATACAACTTTTGATTTTAATGTTTTAGTAAATGCTGAAATTAATATTAACTAAGATTAATAAATGCTGTAAGTGCAGTTCATTATTAGCTAATGCTAACTAATTTAACTTATGAAACCTTACTGTAAAGTGTTACTGATTCATGATAGCTAACACTGTCTTTCATACATATAATACATACATTAAGTTTACAACATCAACAAAACTAAAAATTAGTTTTCCATAAAATTATTAATTTTACCTTCTTGATTCTCACTGTTTTGTTTGGTAAAGTAAATAATATTTAGTAATATTATCATAATTTCCCTATTTTCATTTGATGTGTTATGCATTCTCATAATTGTAAAAACATATTTTCTTAGAATGCCAAGGAAAGAAAGAATAAAATAAAAAAAAATCAAGGAACTCTATGATGCAGCCAAAGGAAGCATCCCTCTCACAAGTTGGCTGAATAGAGAGAATAAAAATCCAGGTACTGTTAAATTAAATATAAAAAAAAATTAGTGCCCTTTTTGGTCCCTCCGCCCCTGCCCCTGAGGAGGTCTGTGCACGCCACTGACGTACAGTATCAATAAAAGTTTCCTATATCTTTCAGCAGCTTTTAATAATATTCAACTGGATTTATTGGTGAGAAAAATTATTAATTTACAGCCAAATCCATTCCTTATCCAATGTGTTTCTCACAACAGATAACGAAGACAAACAATACATTTTCCTCTCCGAATTGTAACTAATGAGTGCCTCAAGGTTGCATTAGTTCACCTTTATTATGGTTTATGCTGACTGCATAGCTTTCTAATTATCATCAGCTACAACCAGTGAAAATTCACAATGTGGAAATTATACGGACCTCATCCTAAAAGTATTTTGGTATTATGATTCTGATCTGTAATAGTCCCCTCATATAGAATTTCTCTGTAAGAAGATAGAACAGCGTGTTTATTTCCTTTGAAGGCTTAAAAAAAATCTAAAAAGTGTTTTGTATTGCAGTACGACCCGGTTTAATAGCTTGTCTGTAAACCTAAATCTATGTACATTTGGTGTATGTGAAATTATTTATATTTAAAATTATTCAATTGATTAATGAGTTTTATTTATTTAATTAATGATTCCTTTGTATGAATCTTATTAATCTCTTCTATTCCAGTCATTGCTGGCTATGTATTCATTTAATCTTCATTTATTTCTTGTTGCATTCTTTTACATTGATTTCTTTGATAATTTATATATTTTCTACTATATGCTCTGATATGTTTGATTATTTCCAAATGAAAGATCTTTGGTGTCTCTTCTTTGCCGTAAGATCGAGTGGGTGCATTTTCCCTCAGATTTGATTAGGTGATGTACATTTGTATCAAATATAGATCCATTTCCATCTCTGCAGACATGAGATGTGATATATTCTCTTAAAGGTCCTAAAGGTGTCAAAACCACCCCTTGTCTATCTATTTCCTGCATATCTATTCTTTAAACTTATGTTGTTCTTCACTTCTGCTTCTTCTCTTCTACCTCTCCTTTCATTCTTCAAATATCTTAACTTCTTTTGGGTTCTTCTTCCTCTATACTCTGATCTTCACAATCTTTATCTATACAATATTTTCGATTTTATTATAAACTATTGAATAAAATAGATCAAATTTTGGTTTAAACGTATTTGCTATTATCATTTTGATACTTTCATTTGTTTTCTTTAAGTAAATTTGATATTCCTTGTTCAAATTTGATCTGACATAATCATTACTTTTCTGCCTGGATCTCATTGTTTCATTTATATATATATATATATATATATATATATATATATATATATATCACAACAAAATAATGACAGCGGCAAGGGCTCTTTGACACCCGGGTTTCGGCACCAGTGTAACGCAGGTATGTTGTTATGGGAAGAAGGAGTCGGGAACCGGCAAACGTTTACAAACTTTAATAATGTAAAATAAACAACAAAATAAAGTAAAGGCGCACATAACATAACATAACATAACATAACATAACATAACATAACATAACATAACATAACATAACATAACATAACATAACATAACATAACATAACATAACATAACATAACATAACATAACATAACATAACATAACATAACAGGTCGGGGGGACCAAGCCAGACTGCGCCCACCCCTCAAAACCCAGGACCACCTCGAGGAGCGTACCAGAGACCAGACAGACAAGAAGATTTTCTAAAAGTAACAATATTTATTTAAATAAAAGCAGGAATTAAAAGTCTTAATATGGGCTTCTTCTCTCTTTCCAGGGAGGAGGAGACCGAGGGGTGCGCTGCGAGGGCCCGGACTACTGGCAGCC